TTGGGGGGGAGGGGCTCTCCCCCTCGTAAATATCGAATGCGTTTTACCTATTTTTGGATCCGCGCGCTTAACCTGTAACCGAGAAGAGGGGAGCGGCACGTATTTATTTACATTAGGGAACACCTATTTTAAATGGTTTGTGCCCGTTTTCCTCCATTTAACTGGAAATTTAATTTTGAAATATCATAGTTTACAAAAATCTTGGTATTTTTCGATTCTTCAACGTGATAATAAAGAGATTAAAGATTTTATCTGCAATTATCGAATTAAGTTAGATTGATGTTAAAGAAACACACCACAAAAATGAACGATTTGAAATCGTTTTTCATAGTAGTCATAAAAAGCCTTTGATGATTTTATTAAAAAAGTTCATTTGAATTCGAATAAAAAGGCCAGAAAAAGGACTTGCTGCAAAATATAGAGAGGATGGTGGAAAACCATATTTTCTGGCTTCCTTTCATTTGTTTCAGCATTTTTTTTTTAACAAAACTCCTTCCATTCTTCAGATCCAATAGCACTTAAGTATTTAATGATGCTGAATGTTAGTTTTACTACTTTCTTCAGATATTCAAATTTGGAGTGTTACAAACTTCAACCTCAAGTTTTCGTTCTTCATTTTCCTTTATATCGACTTCGGAAAAATCTACAACACATATTCTGATGGTTCTTGAGCTCACTTTTCTAAATTATTTAAAGCGGCTATCAAAATTGGGAAAATCAGTTATGGTATTGTTAAAAACTGGTATAGTCTGTCTCAATCTTCAACGTGCTGGCTTTTGCCAGCAATTATGGAAGTTACCTCCCGACGGTAGGTATTAAATGACATGCCATTAGGGACGGACTCTCAAAGGTTTTGGTAATAATTTTTGTTGTAAGAGTCCTCAATTTTTATAATGTGCTGTCAAGTGCGTAATCTGTGTGATTACATTACTACTGGCCTATGGAGGGCGGTACGCCCTATAATGGGTGTTTTTTTTTCGATGTATAGAACTTTAAGTTGGCATTAATGCTCAAGATGGCGACCGATTTAACAGCTGTCAAGCGATTTATTCTCAGTTTGGTTTGGCAATTCATCATGGATAGACTCACGCCTGGACAACGCTTGCAAATGGGCCCAAAACGAGATTGCCGTTGTTCCCGATTTTCATAAGCGAATTTTGTTGTCACTAAAGTAAGAACAAACTTTTTTGTTAATGGCTTTAGGTTAAGTTTCATTGGGAAGGGTCCGTCGAAACCTAGCACGATGAAGATTGAGACAGACTATACATTGTCTTCTTTAGCCACTTCAGATCCTAGATCCCAGTTATGGGTGGTCGGTATTTCCCTAGGCTTGTAATCTGTGAAAACGGTAGTCGCAAATCGAATTTTGCAATAAGCGTTTATCTTATTATTTTGCATATATATTTTTGTAAATATTTTCATAACCTGTAATAAAGAACTACGCCTACGGTACACAAAATCATTTTTTGCGATGTTGAAAGAGTCTTATGTATCAAATTTCCAATACTCACAATTTTGTGCTGAATTAACTCTTCTAATGGGGACATGAAACAAGTCGGCTAATCTGCGACTAACCGACAACAAAATGGAGTCTAGCGGTAATTTACAAATATAAAAAAACATTATATCCGACAGCTTTCTTCGGGAATATATGTTCCTTAAATAGGACAAATACGTACTGCTTAATTATTCTTTTGCGACAAATTTCATCGGTAGAGTTCGTAATATTTAAGAAGACTTGGCGACTAAATTTAAATATTATTCGCGTTCGGATAGCAAAATGGTCGTGATACATACAAACGGAGGGCACATTAACCCTGCGTATATTGCATGCGATGCGAAGCTCGTAGCCGCAGGCGATGCACCCGACCAAATTGCAACGGGCTTCCCTTTCCGCGAGCATTATTATACTTAGATCCATGGGAACGGCAAACGGTCAAACAATATAAAAAATATATATTAACGCTCGGTAGAAAATCACACCGGCGGAGGACGCGGCGGTTCCCTCGAGAATCGCATCTCGCGCTTCCGAGAAACCTTAGGTCGACACGCAGGATGAATTTCATCAAGCCAGATCGCCACGATATAGCACCGCATGGGCGGCGTCCACCCCAGCGGTGCGTTAAGATTTTTTTTGTCACATCCAGGAAATATTTTTACACATCCGTTTAGAAATTTTATTATTTATTATCAGTACTAAAGGACGTAAAACCGTAGAAATCGTTAATTTACGTGTAAAGGAAAGATCTAATATATGACTTCAAAAGTTAACAAAAGCGGTACATAATAGTAATAGTAAATAAATAATAGTAAAAAAAATATTTTGGATTTGTATTGCAATTTTTGTTAAGTAGATTACATCACAGAAAACATACATTGGAGGTGTTTGACTCAAAAGGAATTTGAGGCGGCTATGGAGGAGATCGTGATGGATGAGGACAATAACAATGAAAGCCGTAAGTATTATTTGGATTTACGCATTCTTATGTATTGTAGCATTCCATTCCCAGTAAAACAACGTGAAAAAATATTTACAGAACATATTGACGCGGTCTATATTCCACCCGACGTGGATACCTTGACTGACGAAGAAGATATGAACGATAACATAGTTGGAACTTTCGAGTTACATACACCGAATGATACAGCTGTCCTTCAACAGTTGAACCTGAATGAGACGCATCAGATGATGATACCCTGGAATTCAAAAGAAGATGTATGCTTTCTTCAAACAACAGACTTGCTTCTACTGTCAAATAGAAGAAAGGTCAGATTGCGTACACTCACCCACCTATATCCGATGAATTTAGATCATGCGAGGAACTAAAAAATAGGCTTTCTGGAAAAACTCCACTTGAAATATTTTTTATGTTTCTATGGCGCAGAAGCGATGACCATGAAAACCAGCAAAATAGAATAGAAACCTTTGCAATGTGGACACATAGACGTCTCTTAAAAACACACTGGACCTATAGTCTTCAGCTGCCAGCTGAAGACTATAGGAGAGCTCATAAACAGAAAGACAGATTCCAACATGTGGTCGCTAACATCCAGTGAATGGATTGGCATCTAAAGAAGAAAAAAAAAAGTAAAAACCAAGCTTTCGTGGGTACCGGAAATGCGCGAATAATCGACGAATTAAGTGCTTCACCTTGTCACCGATAACCCAATCATCAATCCATCAGCTGACTAAACCAAACAACAAAAGAATTACGACTATTTAACGGCCGCGCGTCACAAGAAAGACCAACATGGAATACCAATGACGGAAAAATCCAGACAATAAGTACGACTCGCGTACGCGCACATTTTTGACATTCTTGCGCATACAATTACACAATAAAATCGAAAATTAATGCCGACAATTAAAACGCGGCATACGTAGCTCGCATTGGTATAGAAAGTCTCTCGAGTTATTGGACACACTATACGGACCGATGTCTCATAATCTCAAAAGTTATAAGGCGACTAGATCAAGGAAATGACATATAATGGTCAGCACAGGTCGTTAACGACCTTGAATTGTGATGATGATGTAGAGGGCGCCAGTTACATCATAGTATCTCGCTATTTTATGCCAAAACTCTGTCCTGTTTAGTTATCTTTTCTTTGGAAACTCATGAGAGAGAAGCCATTTCATTTATAAGCAAAAAATATATTCTCGATTTAGTTCGATTAAATGTAAGTTTTTTGAGATATTTGCTTTCCAATACACTAACCTCTACAAAAGAACAGACGACTAAAAACTGGTCCCAATTCAACAGTTGTATATGTAGATCCAGTTTGGGCTAATAACGATAATATAATATTTTGACTATCAGTCAAGACTTTAAAATACAGCGTGTTTGGTTTTAATCACAGAAAATTAATTTGTTTTTATCGTTACACACACGATATAACTAAATTGTTTTTTTTTTTAACAAACTGATTGTGCGTCTATTTGAATAAATTTCTACACAAAAAATGGACCAATGGCTTTGCATTATCGGCAAATTTGAAAATATCTAACTATTGTAATTTTGGGTGCTTGATTGAGAGATTTGCCCACACTCAAAGGCAATCGGAACAAAACCCAAACGGAAAAATTACAAATTCAAATATACGGGAGGGAGTGCCCCAATACGGGGAGGCGTTGTAATGTTAATGAGTTAATAAAACGTTAACAACCTCTATTATGCATGTTTTGACCGCAACTCGCGTGACTCACAAAAACGTCTTCCCATCTCTCCCATCCGTGATCCGGTTTTATCGGTCGAATCCGTCAGGTTATCGAAAACCTTATTTGGGAAACGAAAACAAACAGCAATAAGAGCAAATATATACCTATCTTATCTTTCGAACATAAAATACCGAAGTATACCTATACCTACAACAATGCACTTAGGGATACAATTATTGCGTCCCCACCGATAAACCAGTCGGGGTATTTCCGTGGAATCTACCTAGTGTGACTCATCCTAAATGATAAATGCGATTTTAACCCCCGGCGTACGCCACCAATACCCAAAAAAAACTCAAAATTTTCAATTTTAATCCCTAGCTTAATGGAGTAAAAAGTGCTCCCCGCCCTAAAACGCTTATTAAAATCAAGTTTGGAATTTATAGCGAAAAACGAATGTCAACAAAACGGCCCGGCAAGGAAATGAACCATTGCAAAACCTGTCGACGACAAGGCGATTACATTCGGGTCGTCCGGACCATCTAAATTTTTAATATCACCTGCGGGTTTACATTCTCGTACCTGGCTTTAGTTAGTCACCTTTCGAGAAGCAGGTTCTACAGATTTAACCGTCGCGAGCCGCTGGTTAACCTGTGACTGAAAAACGGACGTTTCCACGCGAAATACAGTCGGCGATCCCGGCGTATACGCACCGTATTATTTATAGCAGAAGAAATAATGACCGTCTGCGAAACTGCAATTATTTGCATCGTTGTCCGTTGTTGCTATAGAAACAATTGCACGGAACACTTACGATAGGACGTAAGTGTTCCCGACTTACCCAGAGCTCCGTGCCCCAGTTCATGGCTTCTGTTGCGCCCGTCATTAATCCAATTTTATGTGGCCACTTAACGTCACAAAACACCAAAAATTACACCCGACGTTTTAACGCTGCGACACCTATATCGCCGTCACTGCCCAACATGGCTGAACACACACTAAAATCTGAAATTCAGTGGAAACTTCAAGAAACGCGACCGGCGCAAAACAAGGATGTAAACTAGTCTGCGATCGTAGCGCCCCCATCGATTTTCTCAACCACAGAAATGTCACCGAAGTTGGTTGGTTCAGGACTAAACCCCAAAAGGCCGCATAAAGATAGCAAATTTAAAATCTATATAACTACAATTTAATTAATTTTCAACGATAAAAATAAATACGCAAACGAGTTATTTAAAATAATTTTCTTGGCTGCTTAGAAGATCTTCTTCGTTATATTTGGTTTTCTGTCCACAAGCATTCCCATGATCGAAAAGAAGAATAATTGAAGAGGTTATAAAATTTGAATTGATTTCATTTAAAAGCGTTTCGATCTTAGTTGCATTATTGCTTACAAAGAGGAAGAATCGTGGTAAAAGTAGGTTCTAAAGTTCAAAAAATTATCGACTTTGTAGGGGCACCCACTCCATGCGCGTTATGTAACGAGTGGGATTTGGTTATATTTTGTTTATGTTTGCAGGATGAACTCTCTGTTAAGAGCTATAAGCAGTGAAACGAAGTATACTAAATTGAGAAACTTTTCTAAGGACAATCTTCAAGCAGCTTACAAACCAACCAACTGGGAAAAACGATATCTTGTCTGGACTGGAAGATTTAAAAACATAGAGGAAATTCCAGAATTGCTTCCTCATGCTACCATTGACAAAGCTAGGAACCGTATGAGAATAAAGGCAGCAAATTATATGATACTTGGTACTATTCTGGGTTGTTGTTTAATGGTTTTTCTTGGAAAAGAAGATGCCAAACGCGGAGATACTCTTGTAAAAAGAAATCTTGATTGGCATAAACAGTTAAAAGAGGAAGAGAAAAACAAAACTACAAATTGAGCAATTTCTTAAGAATATATTAATTTAGTGGAACAATGTAAATAACTCTCAATAATTAAATTAAAGTTAAAAATCATATTATGTTTAGCTTACGATTTTTATATAAAATGGACTACTTTTACAAGCAAAAGGAACCAAAATCAGGAAACTAATTCCTTTACTTTTTCCGAAGAACCTTCTTCTAATAATTCAAGCCTCTGTCCCCTTTGCTGTGGCTTTGTTACCATTAGATATTTGTATGCCCGCCATCCAAGATACGAAAATCCAACCACAGATACAACTAAACAAGTATTCACCAAACACCTATGTAGCTTATCTATATAATAGTTAGCACGTGCTTTTGCAGATTTTCGTAACATGATCGATGGGAAAAAATTTTATTTCGGTATTCCGCTGCTTGATACTGATATAACCTCAAACAATTCCTTCTTCTTTTCCAGTATTGGCTTAATGCAAAAGGAACTGATCCTGGGCATAACATATCCATCGTCACTTATTTCTGCAAATTAAATTTGTAAAAACGCAGAAAACTTTAATACCATCACATCTAGGTAATTTTACAAGAAATAAGCTATTTTATTATTTATCATTAGTTGAGCTGTCGTGGGCCAGAGAAATTCGTCGTGTGTTAAATTCTATAAAGTCTACAACCTCCCGGTATCATTGGCGTGCGTTATTTTTCTTGCCGACAAAAAAACGCAAGAAAAAGTACCTAAGAAAACGGTTAATTTCTTTAGAAACTTCTTTCGATCTACAAGGTTCGAGCTTAATCTTCATCAAAACAAAAACATGTCACCAACATTTTCAAAAAAATTGTTAAAACATAAATTATTGGTCAATGTACGCCTTTGAGCAAGAAACATCAAAGAGGCCGACAAGTCCCGACAAAGGGATGTTTGCGTTTGTGTTTCGAAGATCGATTTCCGTTCAAAAGGGTTTGGATGTTGCCTCTAACCCGAACGGAGGCTGTGGAGGTTTATTTACAGGGAAAGTAAACCTATAGGGTCACCGCAAACGAAATCATCTTATTTGGTATGTTAAAACGTAAAAAATCTGCATTATAATTGTTGCACGCGTCAAGAGTCTGCACGTGTAATGGAACTTGAAAGCACTAAGGGGCCAAACCAGGACCGCCACCCGAAAGAAGAACTACTTGTTACCTCCATAAAAAAGGAAAATGAATCAGATCAAGACGATTTTTTCACAGAAGCCCCGAAAGAAGCAGAGTTTCAAGGGCGATTACTTGAGCCCAAATATGAAGACAATAGCGAGGAAACGGACTACAACTATCGCGGTAACATGCGCCATTTACTCAAGGAAGAGCACGCCTGGGATAGTCCAGAATTTGTGGAAGAAATGGATCTATTTGACGGAAACTCCAAAAGCAAGGAGAAGTAATGCGCCACATTGGTTTCCAAATGTTATAATAGTTTTTTTCATAACTGTTTTATAGAGCCACCTATCAGCAGCGAATAAAAAAACCTTTAAACGCCTTCATGCTGTTTATAAAGCAGATGCGCCCCATATTGAAAGACAAATTACACTTTACCATGATGGCGTCAGACGCTAACAAATTGCTGGGGAAACTGGTATTTAATACACACCCTATATATAGATGTATCTTTTCACCTGCATAATTAATACCTATTTCCAGTGGCGCCAATTGTCGGAACAGGAACGGGCGCGGTATTCTGAAATGGCGGCAGTGGAAAAACATCTCCATCGCCAGCAGTATCCGGAGTATGACGGCAAGCTAAATTATGCACGGAGCAAGGAAAAACGGAAATATAAGTGGAAAAGGCGAGCCGGTGAGACTGAGACTTAGTCGTGATTCGAGCTTATCTCAAAACTTTCCAGGTTCGAAAGACCAGGTGAGACGATGCAGGGCGATGCACGGGATGATCAATCTGCATTTGTGGTGTAAAGGCTGCGTGTAAGTATCGCAAAGGTAGACGTGAATATTATAGGAAAACCCTGGATTTCTTGTTTGTTTTAGAAGGAAAAAGAAGTGCCTCGTCTCCAACTGCGATACAGAAATGTCTGGCGATAGGCAAAGGACTCTCGATAGTGGGGAGGAGGCAAATCTTATGGTAGAGATTAGCAAATGCCAGTCCATGTACCGCCAGAATAAATGCCAGATGTGGAGCAAGGGCTGCAAGTCAGTAACATGAAATTTTCTTCCCAAAAAATATTACTGTAAAAATTACCTTTTAAGTTCCTACAGCAGTGCTAATTAAAATGACAAGTTTTACTTTTCAAACTGCTTTCCCTTCTGCAAAAATGTTGACTCTTTTTGAAAATTTATTTACGGTAGAAATTAACTCCTAACACAATGACCTGAAAAATTTAGAAATATATTTAGTTTTTTGCATTTTTTAAAAAATTATTTCAGCAACTGCATTAAATTAACTTTTTTGATAAAACATCAAAAGTTTAGAAGGGACAACAAATGCAAGGTAGGCATTTCTTCTTTCAGAAGTAATACAAATCGCGTCAACCTTGCCCAACCTCAAAACCCCAAAAAAGAGCAGCACACATCAAGCTACTCGGAATGGTTAGAGCGAAACATCAAACCTCACAACAAAGAATCGGCTACCAGTCTCTTGACTAGCGAGCTGAAGATCCTCAAAGAGAGAGCGGAACAATGTCTGCTTGCTAATCAAGACCTGCTGCTAACGAAGATTAACCAGCTGTTGGAAAAGCAAGAGGAAGATAACTACAGCGACCACGAGATATCCGGGTCCCCTGAAGGCAGCGACGATGAACTGGGTAGTTCTCGAAAGTGCCAAATGGACATTGTGGACAAACAGCAGGACACTAAGCCATATTGTAGAGAACATATTAGCGATCCTCAACCTCAACCAAATATAATCGAAGAACTTAGAAACCTAAGTTGCTCTAGATCAAACATTCCCAAAATGGAGGCAGTCGACATAGGTGTCCTGAGCCACAGACTCGTAAAGGCAGATCACGCCTGCGACGATTCGGAGCGGTGCCGCGGGGAATCCTGCGACGCGTTCGTTTTGCAAGACCTGTTCACGAAAGTGTACTCCCTCTATTTGAAAACAAAGAAGAATGTTTCGGAAATGCCACGCCCACCTGTTAGAAAAAAACGCTAGGCACAAAAGAACCTAAGCTTTGAAGTTCCGTATTAATCTGGAATCGTTTGTGATTTATTTTTGACGGGCATTAGTGTGGAAGAATTATTTTGTCCTTTACCCGAAATATATATTTCCTATGACACTTTGGTGATTGTTGATTGCCCCAAAATAGTATATGGACACTTGGAGTATAGTTCAAGTGCGATTTCCTTAACCTGGTTGACTGTTGTGAAAATCATTAACAATGAAATTTTATACCTAATACCGCGATTTAAAAAAAAAGTCCTTTTAAGTCCCACTTCAATCGATAGGCACATGCTTAAGGCAAGTATTCAAAAATACGTTCACTACCTTCAAAAGAATTATAATTCACTTTGTCGAGATTTGCTTTTAACTTGTGAGGAAAGTTGTCCAAGAATATTTTACTTAATTCCGCTAGGATGTACTTAAAACGATTATTTAAATTTGAATTATTGAGTACCTTAGACTTTCCCTCGTCACTTCACCGAATTTTAAATAAAAGACAGGTAAAATTAACTTGCACACTTTACCGCCATCACAGACTTGGCAATCTAAGTGATACCAACTGTTGAACGAAAATTGACCACAAAAAATTATGGTATGGATCGCGACAAGTCTCTAAAATATAACGAAAATCACAAACTGGAAATTGTTGGAATAAACGTTGTATTTCTACTCACGTCTTTAAAATACCCAATTACCCAACGATCTAGCGTGCGGGAAGCGTCACTTTACCACGCTTTGAATTTTGACGTTTGTCAATTCTGACAGTCATGTCAGTGAACGTATTCGTGTTGTTTTGCGAAAATGTACCCAAAGACTAACGGTCGCAGAAAAAGTATAGTATGCAACACGCTCGGTAAACTTTTTAACTCGCTCGTTTATTAAAAACTCGTGAGTCAAATACCGTTTACCGCACTTGTTTTATATAATTTACTCTAAGCTTTTTTGAGTTACAACGACAAAAACGAATATATCAGTTTGGCTTGACTCCTTTATTTATACACAAAACAGTCCGTAATAAATAATTTTATTAACTAAACAAAAAACACAACAGATCTTCCCGTTTCACAAACCACAGTATTCGCATGTTACGTTGGCCGCGAAAAACTAACCTAAGTATATATGAAAATAAAAACATATAAAATAACTGTATGCGCGCGCCTAATAATAACAGTTCCTTACAAGGGACGTTTACTTCTTATTCTGAAACACAATGGAAAAATGGGTCCCTAAAATAATGAGTTGCAACTTAAAAACACCTTAGCAAAATCATGCATGAAAAAAATTTAAAATTGTAAACAACTGTGTAAAAAATAATGCAAAAAAGGAATGAAACAGTCTTTTGGAGAATGAACCTCAAGAGAAATCAGTGTTAATTTTTCTTCTTCTTGGTCTGCAAAATAAAAAAATATATGGGGCTACAAAACAAAATAAAAATAAAAAAAATTAAATCTGCCGAGAGGATCTTGCAAAGCATGCAACAAAACTCGTAAAACGATAACTAATGAAAATAATATAGTGCCTACCTTGTCTTTATTGTGCTTTGCGTAATCAGATTTTTCACTCTTTTCAGAAACTGAAGCAGTAATTTTGTTAGATCTTTCTTGTTCAAGCAATTTGTGAAGTCGGCTCACTTCCTCTGTCAATTCTTCTTTAACTGCAGTGAGTTTCTCCAGCTCCAACAGTACCGCCGCCTTGTCTTTCACTAAAAAGTGATTGTGTAATTACAGGTTGAATAGTTGGCCTTAAACTGTACTTTCACCCTGACTTAGCATACTACATAAAGTAGTGTTTCGCTTTTTAACCAAAGCAATTTCTTTTCTCGCCTCCTCTAATTCCTTACCGAGAATTGAACTTCTTTCCCTTTCCTTTTCAAGCTTTTCCTAAAAAATTTTTAGTATTAAAGCACAGCCATCCAAAGGCTCAACAAACATACCTGGCATTGTGCCAAGCTAATAACTTCCTCGAAGTGTTCTTGACGTTTTTTCCTACCTTCCTCAACCTTCTCTTTTGTAATCTCTAGCCTGGCTGTTTCCACCACTTCCTTGAAAAAATCTCGATCATTTTCTTGTACCTTGATTTTCTCCATTTTCTCTATAACCAAAATCACTATTGTCCGGTCACTTTAAAACATTTTTTTACCTCTTTGCTGGCTTTCAACTCCGGGATCCAGAAACTGATCCAGAGACATTGTTTTTCCCTTTTTGTTGTTCTTTTTGACTTGACTTTCCATGTCATTCTTTCCTATGTTCTTTTTCTCTCTTTCAAAATCTAATTTAGACTGCAATATTGCAGAGTGAAGCTGCTGCTCAAAATTATCATTGACTAATTCGTCATCCCTTCTCTTCCATTCCTCCCACTGCTTTCCATTCTCAGGTTTTTTTGATTTACTCTTTTTTGCTGTTTGCGACGGCTGCCCCCACAAACACAGTGAACAATATTAAAGGCTATAATAATCTTTATACATGTGATAACATGAAACTAAAGCTAAAAAAAAATGCATACCACCCTGTGACCGAGTTTCTCCAATTTCTTAGAGGGTTGATTACCGTTGGATGCCTTTTTGGGTTGTTTACTGTCGGACTTTTTCTTAATTTTATTGTTAGAGCTTGGTCTGAAATCATCTTCTTCGATTTTAAGACAGGCAAATCTCGATGGAACTGAAATATCCATGTCAGCAATTAAATCTAAAAAAAACATTTTTTGAATATATTAAATTCAAACAGTTCGCAGCTGTAAACGAGCAACAAATTTTGGTAATAAACACACTACAACACACCTAAAACTCAGCTGCTGTTACTTTTTTATCCAAAGAAAATTTTAATCCCAAAGTTTTCTTTCTAGCAGGAATTTGACATAGACAACCAGGTATTCTTCGAACCCGACGTCCTGTCTGTTCTGTGTTTTTATTTTTCCTTCAGTATACATAAAGCGTATTGCATAATTGGTTTTCTGGTAGAGGTGATGGTAAAATGTGATTTTGTCTTCAATTTGAGCCAGGACGCAATTCCTTGAGATTACCACAAATATCTTATGATTTAATCAGGAAACATCATAAATACATATAATATTTGATTAACTAACTGACCAGAAGTTACCCTTTATTATCTATGCTACCAACCCAAGGAAAATGGATTTTTATATAATTTTTTTCTTTTATCTAACCTTATTATTCTGTTGTTTCTCACACTGTTGCTGGTGTAAAAAACTGGCAAATTTAAATTTCGAAAGTTTGTTTGGAGCTTTATACGAATAAAACTGACAATATGTTCCATCGGCAGCCTAAAATAGATAATACAATTGAAATAAAGGAGGAACAATTATTTCGATTTGGAAACGGTGATGAAATTCAAGACTATGATCATTTAACGATGAATGAAGTGGTAATAAATTGGTTTGAATCAGAAAAAGATACTAAGTTTTCAGCCGTGAAATGTGAAATTCAGGATAGTTTTCCATCCGCAAAAGCTCCAGAAGTAAACTCCAACGCAACTGAATCTGCCTCACCATCCCAACACAAAAATACTTCATCGGACAATCATTCTCCTCAACGTAAACATAAAGTTTCACAGAAAAATTTTCCCCACCCAGACAAATTATATGGGTGCAAATTTTGTGATTCAAAATTTAAACAAAAACTTCATTTATATGGCCACTTGCTCAACAAACATCGTGACATTTCTAACATCGAGAGTTATGTGAAAAACAAAGTTCATTATTGTCAATATTGCCAATACAGGACGATAAATAACTACAACCTTGCTCGTCACATGGAATGCAAGCATGGTGTTGAAGTGTCTGATAAAGTTCCCTTACTAAAGTGCAACTCTTGCAAATACACTTCTAGAAACAAAGGAAATTTAACACTTCATGTGAGAAGGCATAATAAAATGAAACAGTTGAAGTGCGCATATTGTGAAAAATGTTTTTGTCAGAAGGTGAATTTGCACACACACATGTGGAGAACTCATTCGGAGAAATTAAATAATCAATTGGAACACCCACGAAGCCCCTCATTCGATGCTACAGTTTCTAGAGAAAACACTTCACACTCTGACAAACCATACGAGTGTGATTTCTGTGGGTCAACTTTTAGGCAAAAACTCCATTTAGATGGCCATTTGCTCAGCAAACATTGTGACACTCCTGACATTGATAATTATGTAAAAAGCAAGATCCATTATTGTCAACAATGCCAATACCGGACAATAAATAACTTCAACCTTGCGCGTCATGTTGACTCCAAGCATGGGCCGGGAAGTTCTAAAGTATCCTTACTTAAGTGCAAATTTTGCACTTACGCTCCTAGCAACAACGATGATTTACAGCTTCACTTGAAAATGCATTCCAGATTTAAGGGCTCAAATCTGAAAGCATGCCAAAGAAAGTAAATCCTTATTTTAACGACTCTCAAAAAAAAATTAGATTAGTTGCAGATGTTTCCAAGATTTTTTTTTTATTTTTTTTTTTAAATAAGAATTAATACACTAAATATTACCAATTCATCAATATGTAGATTAATGGAAAGAAGTGTAAAAAGACTAGATTTGTGAATTAAATTGATATGTACATATTATACAAAGAATAAAAACTTCAGTTATTTTTTGCATCTAGTTTAGACTTCACCATGTCCTTGAACTGTCCCAAAATAAGGTTCTCCCTCTTTTGCCTTTCCTCTTTGCTGAACATTGCCAAGGCTCTCTTTTCATCGGCAGAGTAGATTTGGTTTTCCTTCCTAATACGCACTGCCTCCATTCTCCTGTGCCTCGAACCGGACATCACATATCCCACTTTCTCAAATGAATCAATCTGATCTGAAGTCAGTCCAATCTCCCCTCTTCTTGGAATTCTTTTACCCTCTGCAACGTAAGCAGCCATTGCTGCACCTTCTCCGGGCAACAGAGCTTTGCCCATTTCTCGGTGAGTTAGTGTAGTCAAAGGTTTCTGAACTGGTCCAACTGATTCGTCATCTTCACTGCCTGAAGTGCCTCTCGATTTTCGAGTGGCGGCAGCTTCCTTCTCAACCCATTCTTCATCTTCACAGGACGAATCGGACACTGATTTACGCTTTTTTTTCTTTTTCTTTGTTTGCTTGTGTTTCTTTTCTTTTTTGTGCTTTTTTTCTTTTTTCTGCTTCTTCTTCTTATGTTTTTTTGATGCGGTTTCCTCCATTACTTCATCTTCTTCAGAGGACGCTTCCTCATGTAAGGGCGATTTACCCCAAATGTCAGGGCACTCTCTAGTTCCCAAAACTTCACGCTCCCGCCTTCGGGCTTCCATGAATTCGTCCTCTTGCGAAGTTTTTCTGCCGTAATCTTTGGATCTGCCGTGGTCATCGTTTATCCTGTCGTATTTCTCGAGGTGCCGCGAGCCTTGGGAGTGATAATGTTTTACCGACTTGGATCTTGATCTGCTCCTCGACCTCGATTTTGGCCGAATAGAAGATTTTCTTGCAACGCTTCGCCTATGCGGCGATCTGTGTCTCGTCGATAGCATTTTGGAAAACAAAAATACGAAAACCCTCCGATTTTCTATATTTAATAAACAAATCTTCTTATCCCCAGAGTCAAAAATTTAGGTGAACTATTCTACCACGGAATATTACGATTAACTCAGACCATCAACCGTTTCCACGTACCTAACTGCGTTTATATTACGCGTTTCAAATGTCGCAGAACACAAATTTTAACCATCGAAAATAAAGCTACAGTGAAAGTAAATCGTGTATTTCATATGTGGAGCATCTTAACGAATAATAAATGGTTACGGAATAGTCCACCCATAAAATTCGAAATGAGAATGGGTTCCGTTATATTATCTTATGTTTTTAGAACTAAATCATAATTTGTCGTGCGTTCTTTCACGCGCACTTAGCGATGTGCGAGAGGCAATAGAAAAACCATCATTAGACCAGTCTATTTATATTAATCACCAATTAAAATAAAGCTCCAGTGTTTTTTTAATTTACTTGACGTCGGTGAGGCGAATCTTTCAAAATATAGCTGCGAATAGTAACGTCATGGGCAAATGACACGATAAGCTGTTAAAAATGTTATATTTCGCAATTAAATTGTTGCAAATGGTCGGCGTGTACTTATTTACCTTTTGAATATGAAACGCGAAAGCAACATGCGGAATATGGCACACATAGCACAAACCTGAATATTACGTAATGCCAACGATTTCGTACTATCTACTAGGCTATTAAAATTCGCACAAGTGGGGAAGAAAATCGTCAAAATATGACTATATTTTAATTATTCGTTTATCAGGTCAAGAAAATATGCTTGTGAAACGTCCCGTGTGACCCCGAATGGGTAGGCACGTACTCGCAAAAATTATAGTAATTAATTCCTTACTTTTGTAGAACCTGTAAAGTGTTTTTAACAATTATTGGGCAATGTTAATTTTTCCGAGTGAAACGGCATGTTCTACACCCATACCTAACGGTGCCGGTGGTTAATGAGTGTAAAACAATGTTCATTTTTGTGTGCGAAATATCACTTTCAGTTTTCAGCCGCGTTTGTAGATGTCTAAAAGCGTTTGTGCCATGCGTACCGCCGCGGAGCGCTCCTAGATTCGTTAAAAATGTCGCCGAGTTGCAAGGATGAGGATATTTGTGCTCGGCGTCCTGTTTCATTGTGCGTTCGGTAAGAAAACCGGAAAACAAACGAAAAAAATATGTGCATAAGCATAATATATACATGTTCTCCTAATCTTTTTCATTAAATGAAAGAACGAATAAAACTACTTAGAGTTCACCACTTTAATTTTACGAATATACTGGAAACTAGGAGGTGAGTTTTTTTAGGGCTCCGACCAGCGTGTGACACCCAATACGATACCGTGCAAGAGTTGGTGCCTTTTTTAAATCCAAAATCGACGTTTTTCAATATCAGGAATTTTCTGAAACCCAGGAATAATGTTGCGAAAACGGTTGTGAAATTCGGTTCCGACAAAACGAGGTGAGTACATAGTTCGCCATTTAATTCAGCAATGTTTTCGTTTTTTATTGACCGCTTTGAAAATTGTTCAAATTTGGCAACGTCGATATTTTGTTAGATTTGGTTTCGTCGTTTTTTCTTTTTAATAACATGTGTCTTTCAAAACGTCGTAAAGTCTGTAACACCCTGTATATAACTCGCTAATGTGTCTAGTAACAAGTTTCAAGAAATTTGACAGATCTAAAATTAACAGCTCCATCTTTAGGTGCAAAAATGTATACTTTTTTAATCGATCGATTCAGATTTAGATTCTTTAGGAAAATTCTAATAACAACAGAGAAAATGGAATGGTTTATAAGAACATTTAAACGTTATTATTCTGTAAGTCAAGGCATTCAGGTGATTTGCACCACGGCATTCATTATTTAGGTCTCGGCAGTCCCATTGTGCCCTCATCCACCCTCCATCGTAAATATAACGATTCGAAAATTTAAAACGAATATCATAAAAAAAGTTGGTTTTAGAAAACGCCAGAATTAATATATATCGTTGTATATACTCTGGCACTGACAAAAGTCAAAAAACAACCAAAATAATCGTCTGCCACTAAACAGTTACCAGCTAGCAACGCAAATATAGCAACAATTTCAAAAGAAAGAATTTTAATTTTTGATTAGCTAGCTCGCTGGCGCATGATTTACAAGCCTGCCTTTTTGTAGAACGGATAATTCGACTCCGGACTATTACGTTGTGGGACATGCACTGAAACCGCCAAAGATGGCGCGTCAGTCCCAGGAGAGAAACAAACGAGGTATGAAACAGGTAAAATTACGGAGCAACCTCGGTCTGATTTTCTCTCTTAGGTGTGGTCCACCTGTACAACATGGTCAGCTGCGCTACGGGTTGCAACCCTCTCAGCTACAAAGGTTACGGCTGTTACTGCGGATTCCTGGGCTCTGGTTTCCCAGTCGACGGCATCGACATGTAGGTAATCGATCTGTGGTGGGAGTGTTCTCGATTAATTTTTTATCCCTCTTCAGGTGCTGCAAAAGGCACGATTGGTGCTATGACGCGGCTAGGTGCCCCATGTACCTCGAGTACCTGGTACCTTACTACTGGAAATGTTGGTACGGCTCGGCATTCTGCGGTAACTTATCGCTGATGGTGGTCACGGATAAGTGATAAAAAAATTTTGACGTTTGCAGCCATAGACCACGGAGAGTTCGGTGGTCCTGCCTCCTGCGCCGACAAGCTCTGCGAATGCGACCGGCAGCTGTCCGTGTGTCTCAAGAAGTATCCCTGCCCTTCGAAACCGGCTTTTTGCAAATCCTCGCCGTTAAGGTTTTTCCAAAATATATTCATGTTTTTCGCGTAAACGTTTCGTTTATTTCGCCTGCTGGCAACTATGCCAAGAACGAATAAGAAGAAGAGCAACGGAACGGATTGAAATAACATATATGCGAAATATTATAAAATATGGAATACCCAAATTATTTAATTTTTAATTACACATCAAAGGAAACATACAAGAATATTTAAGCTTCTGCTTTGCCACGAAAACAAGTGCGCAATGGCATTTAAGCGGCCTAAACGTGTAGTTGGCCGTGTATCCTGCTGGCCATAGCTCTACGAAGAAGAAACCGAAACGAACCACTTAATCAAATCTTATTTTTAATAACTAAAGCGAACCGAGCTAGTTGCTCGCTTAGCTCGGGGTCGTTCTCAAAGCCCCTGGTGAAATCGAGGATCGCGTCGCTCAGTCTCGCGTTCGCCCCGCCCCTTTTTCGCAAATTCCGCTGCCTGGTCATCTATAAAATGTAGGAAATAAAGCGGCGACCCTTCGGTATGGGATCGCGCGACCTTAAACGGAGAAACGCGGCAATGTGCCGTTTTGTCGGGGTCGCTGATGCTCGATATGGCGTTTTGCAGCTCGCGGGCTTTTCCGGAAAACTGCCGCACCGCCTGCGGAGGCGGCAACTCCCGCAAGTGGCCCAGCTGCGGATTCACCATAAGAGTTTCCGGATATTGATTGTATTTTCCCGTAACCTGAACAATATTCGTACTTTTGATTTGAAGAACACAGGCACTTTTGAAGCCATTATCAGTAACGTTCAATGTGCGCATGCGCGAATTTAATTCAAAACGCTTGCACAATTTTCCCGTGGTACATGTAAGCCATGTAAATTATTGAATGTGGTTATCGATATTGCTTAGAATCGGATATTTTTCTTCCATGTCCGGCTGTAGCCGTTTAAGTATTTAAATACCTACTTTCTTCTCAAAAGATAGTAAAAATCTCATAATTTTCATGGTTTAGCCGTTTTAAAAAAATATAAAAATTTTATAGAAAAGCACACAACTAAATAAATTATTATTATTATTATTTAAATTATAAGTTATTAATATTTAGGATTATTTGCAATTTCCCCAACTTTTTATATTAATTTGCAATGGGCACACGTCATACATCTCCCAGTGTACTGTCGGTTGCCTATATCCGTCACGGATAAATTCCCGAAACTGCTCGGTAAACGATTTGCTTTCAATCAATAAGATTGTTGAGTCGTTTAATGTTACAACTCTAAATTCGTAACTTAATTTCCTGTGATTTTTTGAGTAGAAATCAAACACACACGTGTTGACATTGCGAGATTTTTTTCTTGAGCATGGACCCGGGTCGAACACAGAACACAAAATTAGACAGTTCATTCTCAGCTGTGATGCTGCGGTGACGGTTGTATGCGACGTTGCCGGAACGTGCGATTTGTCCCTAACAAAGATTTTGCGGCATTCAACAATCAACGTGGCTCCTGTTTTAATTTATTTCGCTCTGTAGACAGTGCAATAAAAACACGCGCTAAACTGCACAAAACGTTGTTGCAGTTGCAGTATTGCGAAAAAAATTTTTGTTGAGTTATTTTGGATGTAAATTTGTAACTAATCTTACTTGGGCGACGTAGACTCCCCTTTCCTGGGGGGACAAGTGGTCCCACATCCCCGCCACTACCTGTTTGATTTGCGATTCCGGCGCGCTCGGATACATCCAGCGATAGAGAGTGCGCGTACGTTTCGAGAACGTCGACTTGGCCGTCCTGAGAACGTCGTGCTGAATCGCGCGCTAATTTAACGACCGATCAGCTTAAGTGATAATGATTATGAAGTAATTAAAATACCGTATCGTTGGTTCTAATTGGTCCAACGATTTTAGACGATGCGGGGCGACAAACCAAATGCCTGTCCTGAAAAAAACAGCAAAGCACGCTGGGGCCATTTTAAAAACGGCCCAAAATTCGCATCGACTTACGTCATTTTGCGTAGGTCGGCAATATTGTCTGGAAAACGTCAGATCTATGGGTTCTGCCTGAACATCGGCGGTGGGACTGCTTTCGAACGTAACCTGTTCGGTTTTGACCTAACAATATGTGGTTATAAGTAACTTTTGCGAGGGTTTGATTTTTGCTTCCTTCAATTGCCGAAAAGAAACATAGCTTAATGGACGCTTATTACCTCATCTGTTGATGGCGAAGAATTAGCACAACTTTCTGCCGTTTCCATTGAAATCGTTTATATCTCGCCGTATATTACACCAATAAACTTGGAAACCGCTTTGTTTGACGTTTCGAAGTACACTGTCAACATTTCGCGCAGCGCCCACTAGATGGAACTCGCCGCCTCCGATTACAGGTCGTCAAAGTGACAGCGTCAAACTTAAAGCTTTATTTCACAACTGACGAATGAAATTCAGCTGAATTTAAATACAAAAAAAAAGTAAATGTTTCCGAATCAATCGACTTCTTCGACGGTGGGGCCTTTGGCACCCTTCGCATCGCCCTGATGAAGCTTCATCATCACGGGTTGACAGTCCTTCTGCAGCTCCTTCAGCTTGTCCTCGTACTCGTCCTTTTCCGCCAACTGGTTGCTGTCCAACCATGCCAGAGCTGTCGCGCATTTATCTTGAACCAGCTTCTTGTCGTCTTCGGTTAGTTTATCCGCAGCGGCATTTTCAACCGCCTGAAATCACACAACAGTGACAACTTCCTCCCAAAATGTCTCCTTCGGATTAGACAACAATAGAAAGAATAACAAAAGGTTAGGACGCCGTATAGTCTGCCTCATTCTTCATCGTGCTGACTTTTGTCCGCATTTATAGAAGTTATCTGAAGACGACAATAAAACTTGGGTCCGGTAGGTATTAAAGGACAGAACATTAGGGACGGACTCTCAAGGGTTTTTGGTAATAACAATGACATTAAGGCAGGGTTTGCGTTTTTGGAGTAGTAAACGGTAGGCAAAGTTAATCACGGGATCGGTTGTAAAAGCACTATATTTCTGGTCGAAGTATACCATTTTATGGATCCGAATATAGATACAATGGGAGGAAGAACGACCGTTTGGTACCTGTTTTGCGCTAAAGATGTACCCTTCGAGCTGGTTCCTTGCCGTTATCCTCTGCCGTTGTTCGTTGTCTTCGCCGGCGTATTTCTCAGCGTCCGACAGCATCTTGTCGATCTCCGCCTTCGACAAGCGTCCTTTGTCGTTGGTGATGGTGATTTTCTCGGATTTTCCGGTGCTCGAGTCTCTAGCGGACACGTTCAGGATACCGTTGGCGTCCAAATCGAAGGTGACTTCTATTTTGGGCACGCCACGGGGCGCGGGTGGTATCCCCGTCAGGTTGAACGTCCCCAGCAGGTTGTTGTCCTTCGTCATGGCACGTTCGCCTTCGAACACCTGTATCGTAACGGCATTCTGGTTATCGGAGTACGTTGTGAACGTCTGCTGCTGCTTGCAGGGGATCCTCGAGTTCCTCTCGACGATCTTGGTCATCACCCCTCCAGCGGTCTCGATGCCCAGGGACAAGGGTGCGACGTCGACCAGCAGTACATCTTGAATCTGCGACGACGTATCCCCGCTCAAAATGGCCGCCTGGACCGCGGCGCCATAGGCCACCGCCTCGTCCGGATTGATGGACAGGTTCAGCGTTTTGCCGCAGAAGAAATCCTGCAGCATCTTCTGGATCTTCGGGATCCTGGTCGATCCTCCGACCAGCACCACGTCGTGGATTGCCGACTTGTCCAGCTTGGCATCGTTCAAAGCTTTCTCCACTGGCTGCAGGGTCGACCTGAACATATCCATGCAGAGCTCTTCGAACCTGGCCCTGGTTATCTTGGAGTAGAAGTCCACGCCGTCGTGTAGGGCGTCTATCTCGAGGCTGGCCTCGGTGCTCGACGACAAGGTCCTCTTGGCGCGCTCGCAAGCGGTCCTCAACCTCCTCAACGCCCTGGTGTTGGTGCTGAGATCTTTTTTGAATTTGCGCTTGAATTCCTCGACGAAGTGGTTCACCAAACGGTTATCGAAGTCTTCCCCTCCGAGGTGGGTGTCGCCGGCGGTCGATTTGACTTGGAACAGCGACCCTTCGTCGATGGACAAGATGGAGACGTCGAAGGTGCCGCCGCCCAGGTCGAAAATCAGGACGTTTTTCTCTCCTTTGAGGTTCTTGTCGAGGCCGTAGGCCAAGGCCGCGGCCGTAGGCTCGTTGATGATCCGAAGAACGTTGACGCCGGCGATGACGCCCGCGTCTTTGGTCGCCTGACGTTGAGAGTCGTTGAAGTATGCGGGGACGGTGATGACCGCGTCGGTGACTTTGCCGCCCAAGAAAGTCTCGGCGATCTCCCTCATCTTGGTCAAGACCATCGAACTGATTTCTTCCGGGGCGAATACTTTGACCTCGCCTTTGTACTCGACCCTGATTTTCGGTTTTCCCCCGTCGCTTATCACCTCGAAGGGCCAGTGCTTTATATCCTCTTGGATCTTGGGGTCGTCGAATTTTCGACCGATGAGACGCTTGGCGTCGAACACGGTGTTTTTGGGGTTCATGGCTACCTAAAACCGCGAAAAACTACCGATTAATAGAACGAAGGATGGAAGGGAATCGGCTTATAAAGGCGGTGGGATCTACTGGACTCGTAATACTTTGAAAACTTATGTATTACCTATAGGGCCCTACTGCGTCCTAAGAAACTACTCGAATGTTCGACCCCCTTGCGAGAAGTATAAATAGTGTTTATAATCTGTGAATAGTTAGTGACTTTGATATTTTGGAGGAACTCGTTTGATGAACGCATTTAGCTTCCACAGATATGGAGGTCCTGCCTATTACGGTAATATGAAAACCATATAGCTAACAGAGAATATATTAATAATAATAATTTTCTGGGCATTCCTCTACATTGCATTCACTAACCTGCACTTGGATTCATTTTACACCAAAATATGCCTAGATATTCTGGGAAAACGAGTAAAGTGTATGAAAATCGCTTTTTAGAAAGAAAATGGGACGAAGTGCAGGTTAATTAATTAAATTTATCTTTTTTGAAAGAATTATTAACAAACTTATCGATAATCCCTTTTGGTTTTTGAAAACGTTATTCAATTTTAAACCGCTATATCGGGAGTATCCAGACAATTTCGGAAATTTAAGTGGGTGGGATTTTACTTGTGTTGGCGCAGCTCCAATTTAATTTTATATAGCGGGGAAACATTTAGATTAGAACCCGTCTGGGATTTATACGTTATCACACTGGAAGATCTGTTTTTAGGAGACTTTTACAATAAAACCTTTAAAACTTTTACTCTCGCAGAAAATACCACCTATACGTACTGTGCACATGATAAAGTGATCTCCAGCGAACGTCATTACATTTAGGTTAAAACATAGGTTAAATATTCAGTTACAGTTACAGTTGAAATCAGGAGGCAGACTTTCCTTTCTCGAGCAATTGGTATAAAGATATATTTAAGACTGAACGATAATCGGCAATACCCGTAATAATTTTAATTAAATTAAATTAATTTCCAAAAAATAGTTTTGACTTTTTCATTATCAGTAACTGACTAGTTATGAGTAATTCGAAATTTAGTAGCGGCAGATGTCAGAGCAACACTTATTTGGAGATCCGTAAGAAAATTTGGCAAACTGTGACTCATCGCGGCCACCTTGATCGAGCATAAACAAGCCGGCGCAGCGATTCAAAACAGTTTCGTAAAAATTGTTTGCATTTATGTTCGAACGCAAATAATCCACGTTTAACACTACATATACTTTATGTTATTTTAACGTTTTTTTAACTAAGTACTTCAAGACCAACGCCATATATGTACCTGCGGCCATATGTCGTTACAACCATCTGCCGTAAAATAGCACCATAAATGGTCATATCTACTTTTTCGATAGTAGGGCGGTCAAATTAAGCTGAAGCAATTCTGGCCTCCCAAAGCTCGTGACATTTCGTATTTTCCCCGATACTGCAACTTTGCAATTTGTTTCACATTTCGATTTTAAATTCTTATAAGACCAAAACCGAAAGCAAAGTGTTATTTAATAAATGTGCGATATTGCACAGGGTGATTTCTCAAATATTTATAAAGTAAACGTGAGGCTTAAAATGTTTCGTTTCATAGATACAGGGTGTCCTATTGGGGACGAAAATTGGCTTTTTGCCATGAGAAATTTGACGCTCATGACTTTTTGTACGACCCTGTATTTTATATTTGGTAAAAAACGTCAAAAGGACCACTTAGAAGTAGTTAGGATCACTCGTTTTGGAAATATTTCGGTCCGAAGCGACGCCCTGTATAGAGACAAGAGTTACCCACCTGACTTTTGGCGGCATCCCCTATCAGCCTCTCGGTATCGTTGAACGCCACATAGCTGGGCGTAGTCCTGTTGCCCTGGTCGTTGGCGATGATCTCGACTTTTCCGTGCTGCCACACCCCTACGCAGGAGTAGGTCGTGCCCAAATCTATACCTATGGCGGCGGTTTTGCCCATTTTCGCGAGTTTTTTGCCGAAACGCACGGGTTTGAAATTATTCGTTGGCACTAAGAAAATCGCACTACGCGTCAGCGGGTCGGTCGTATTACAACACGCTGTATAAGTATCCGAAATTAGATTGGAGTGATAGTCGCCTCCTCCCACCTGAGTTTGCGTGCTTTAATTTACTATAGTACGGGCGGTGATACGCGTTTTCTAGAATCCGCTCCTATCAAATTCTAGAACGTTCTTTCTATCCTTTTTTTTTGCTGGGCGCGTTAAGAAAAAGAAGAAATTTTCTCTCTTTTTACGTTTGAAAATAAATTAGCCATTTTTGATAGTAATTTCGGAAAAATTGCATTCGTTTTTTTGATTTTTATCAGTTTCATTATCACCAACCATTGTTTTAATTTGAAATTCCGAGATCTGATTAGTTACAGAGGGACAAAAGTAACGAACAACTTTACCGAAATATAATATAATAGTAATAATATAATATATTTTAAATTATTGTATATAATTTATTTTGGTAGCAGCTGTTCTGGATTTTTTGTAATCTAGTGTTGACAACAAGACCATGGATGAAAAATGTGGATAGTACAGAGGAAAGGAGCTTGCTATTCTGTAGAAGAGATTATATATCTCGTAAAAAGATGATGTATGTAATTTTAAAATTCAGTCGCCTATTTGCATATTGCCCTTTGAGGGATAGCACACGTAAGTGTAAATTAAAGATCTTCATTTTCTAATTTAATTTTAATATGATTGAATAGAAAATTGTGTTTAAAATTCAAATAAAGTTTGGTTTCGAAAATTATCATAATTAATTTACTTGATTATGAGAAACAGATGGGTGATATTTGAGAGAATTCGCTCTCTTCAGACATGTCAAATATATACAAGAGAAACAACAGAAATAACTCTGTGTGCTGGCTGTTATTTAAATTCGACTTAAAAAATGACACCGATTTTTTTTTTGAAGTTAATTAAGGATCAGTATTTTTATAAAGATTCTTTATTATATCATTAATGTGCATAAGGTAAAATTGAATCCATGGTTTACTGAAAAGCGCCCTCTCTCAAGGAATTCCCCAAGTTCCGCCTGGCAACCTGCGTTCGACGCACGCTAGTCGCCACTTCAAAATCCAGAGGCCGCCACAGATCAGATGTGCGTCTTTTCAGGTAATTTCTTTGACGCCACAATAAAACCGCAGAAAACTCCTGAGCAATTTGTGTGTGGGGTGGGTGGAGTGCTAAAATTACAGCCGACGAATTAAATATAATTCGAAAGTGGTTTATAATTTTCTGAAAACACCGTTAAAATCGGATTTAATTTTACACGGACGGTATCCCGTTACCCGTCATTAAATCTAACTATAGTCGATACAACAACAATGCAAAAGGCTGTAAAAATTCCAGCGTCCCGGTTTCTATTTTTAAAAAAAATCCGAGCTTGTTTCAAATTAATCTTGACGGTCTGTTTTCGCCTGGATGATTTACTTCGTTTTGCAGATTTAATTTTCACACGCAATAAATACACACTGAAAGACGACTATAACTTCTGATACTAGTTGTACACTGACGATAAATTCACGAAGTAGTCAGTAAATTTCTTCATGAAGTTCTTGGCGAATCATAGTGGTTTGGTCAATTTATTTGACGTTTCAAAATATCACTTAACATTTCTACCAACTCACAGTGTTTAGAGGTTTGGAACGGCGTAATCGTCTTTATTTAATTGACATGAAATGTAAAAAGTAGACCTGAATTAGAAAAAGAATGTTGTCCATGACCTTATTTTTCCCGATTTACCTTAAAATAAGATAATAAAACATATGAAATTGGCCCATTTGAAGGAGCGAATGGAATGATTGGACATATATTAGTAATTTTGTTGGTTTTGTTGGTAAAATATTTCATACAACTCAAACAAAATACTCGCTCCTTTAAGGAACTTGCGTCCTCGGGTGCTTTTAAAATAACCCGGATAAAAAATCAATTTTTCAAAACCATTATTTTTCACTTTCTTAGTACCTATGCAAATACAGGCTTTTCGATTTATTTCAACAGTTGGCATTACTGAACTTTACGAATTAAGAAGAACTTATCAGAGAACTGTTACCGCGGCAACGATTCGAATTTGCTATCGATTAAACATGGCGGGCAAGGGTAAAAAGAAAAAGCCGAAAGTTAACAAAAACGGCGACAAGAACAAGAAGAAGGGACCGGCGAAGCCGAAGAAGTCTGGAGGTAGAAAATCGCGCTCCAAAAGCGCCAGGTTAGTTCGTCGTTTTTAAACTTACATTTTGGCAACGCGCTTGTTTTTTCCGAAAAGAAATTGCCTAGAGATTAGCGTCTCGGTCAGGTCAGTGTCAGGGTTTCGCGTATTTAAAAATAGCGGGGGATTATTTTAAAAAATGGCGATTTCAGATGCAACGTGGACATTTTTACGGAGGCGGCGATGGAAAACGCTTACGCCACCTGCCATAACGTTCAGGACTTGCTCAAGTGGCGAGGGTTCCCTTGGCCGGACGGACAGAAAAAGAAAAAGAAGGGCAAGAAGTGATTCGAATAAAAATTGTCAAAAGTACGAAATCGAAGTAAATAAAACCGTTTCGTAGTGTTTTTAAAGAAATATATTTTAAATATTTTATCGAAAATTTCCTTTATTCAAGTTCTTAAATAAAAGCGACCAACAGTGAAAGTGTTCAAAGACTAGCACATGATTAATTTTAATTATTTTTAATTTTTGACGAAAATAAAACTTTTCAAAAGATCCCAGTTTTAAATCGCAATTGTAAATGGAATTCTATATAATTATTCGTATTTCCTCGAGAATTCTTCCGATTCTGTAATTGGTTGGAATTCCTCTGAATTTTTCTTTTCCTTTTTAGATATATTTATATTTGTTTGTGAAATATTGCCAAATTTATTTAATCTTGTTTTAGATTTGGCTGATTAAGGTTAATAAGTTTCACTACGAGGCCGGTCAATTAAGGCGTTTCAGCTTGGTTAGTAGAACAGATTGGCAATTCAAAATAAACAAAAATATGTAACAAACAAACGCGAAAACGCCAAAATTGTCTCGAAAAACGTGCACGAGGTAAAAAATAACACAACAAACCAATTGCCAATTTTTTTTTCACAACGAGAGAGAACATGCTTTTTCCCATGTAACTACCACCGTACACACCTGATTCAAATCCCTATAAATAGGCTCTCTAAACTCTGTTATTTTTAAGAAACTTCTGGTAAGTCGGCTCTAGTGCATCTTACTCAGTTGGACCGTTCGTGTCGGGTGGTGTAACCTCTTCTGAATTGAAAGTAAGTTGTGATATTTTTGTTTGCATTGGTGCCGGTCTATTGTTTATGCATTGCGATTGTTCAAAGGATGTTTAACATTTTAATTTTATTCAATGTAAACTACGAATAACCGAAAGTATAATTTTTTAATTTTCCCAAAATGGTTGGCTTATACAATAAGTTAAGCGAAGAGAGTTATTATGAACAAGATAAATTGTAATAGTACAACTTTAATGACAATCAAAAAATAATATAATATCAAATAATAAATGGATTTTCATCAAGTAAAAACCACCTAAATTCAACAAATCAATTTTTCATACTCGGCTCGAATTTTACCTGTAAATGTGATTTTACCTAAAATTTGAAAAAGTCATTGTCACAATCTGTGAAAAATTAGTTGCTATTAAAAGAGCTGCTACTGTGATGGTCCATCAGGAATATTGAAATAGTGATACGCATTTTTGCAACGGAAGAGTAACTGGAAATGCAGATCAGGCTTAGCCAAATGGGTTAAAAATAAATTTAAAAAAAAATAATTTTGAATTTTTGTTACACTGTAAAATAATGGTAGTAACGTTATTTTACCACGTTGAATCTTTGCTCCGAGTTTGCGAACTTAATTTCCACACCATATATATAATATATGCAACTTAAACTCAGCAAATGTAAGTTTTAATAAAATATTGGTCAAATTTTCTAAAACAAATACGTATGAAAAATACGATAAATGTTAAAATAAAAGAGTGCCGGTCAACTAGAAACTTAACATCTGGAATTCACGCTGCGCGGATTTTGTCACGAGAGTAGCAACGCATTAAAATTTGCCTGGAAAACATCAATATTTAAAAAAATCTCGGGTTAAATACACAAACCCGAGGCGGAAACATTCCTAAACGTAATTTGGACGATTTTTATTTTTAGCATCGAACCTCGTTCGAATTCCCCCTGAATTGAGTTTTCTTTAAGTGTTTTTAAATGAAAATTTTTTGAATAAATTTATTATTATTATTATAATTATTATTATCAGAGTGATATGAATGAAATATTTCTAATTAGTATATTCGCATATTTGTAGATGTGTAGGCAATTTGATTAAATGTTATCGTTTAATTTTTCTTTTGAAATTTCGAAAATATTTTGCAAAATGTTTAAATGACTTCCAAGACTATATGTGCTACAAAATTTTATTCAAAATTGGAATAATTATTAACTTGAAATAATCGGTGGCTTTTCAAATTTGAACAATTGTTTTTTCTCCATCGCCCTGTAGTATTCATTATCGAAATCGCGCACTGAGTAAGTCCAATAAGCCATTTTATACGACGGAAACTATTTTTACTCTCTCTGTTGTTAATTGAATGTCTAATAAGTATGATAAAAGTCAGCTTTTATTTCTGTCTAGGAGTATAATGCTACGTACATCTCTCTCAAATATTTGTAAATTTTTATGTAACTAATTTTCTGTGCATAAATTTTATTCATTATTATTATTATATGTTTAAAAATTTCCAGAGGAATTTGAAATTGTAATAATATATAGGGCGTCCCATTAGAATTAACGCCCACTGCACCCATTTCCGGTATGACTTCGGACACACTGTATATTGGGTTAGTAAAAAATGCACAAGAGAATATTGTCAAGATTTTTTAACTGCTAATTAATTAAATGAATTAATCTTGCACTGTCTAATTTTATTCCTCCTTCAATATAGAGTGACGTAAAATATATGGTTCTTTCTTAATAGAACACCCTGTATATAAGAAAACGACTAAAAATCGCGTCGAGTTCAACGACTTGACTGTTTTTACTCCTAGACGGATGGTTCTATTCTTGTATGGGCTAATTATAGTTGATGACACGTTGCCCAACTCACGAGTGCTCATGCACGTTGACGGTTCAAATATGGTGTCAGTTGAGACCTGGTAATTTTAAAAGATCGTAATATTTCCAACAGTCAAAGCAGGCTGTGCCGGATCGTTTTCAAAGCAAATATTTACGACGTCGTTTCGTCATCGTTGCAGATCATGACATTAACCGTCGCCTGCAGAGCAACAGACCAGGACAAGCACAGGAACGATGTCAATTCCTTACTGTTCCACAAGGGAAAGCTGTACAGCGGTGGCGACGACGGCCTGGTGAAGGTCGGCACCTTATTCTAAGCTTTTGATTTCCCAATTTCCAAACCATTATTTTTAGGTGTGGTCTGACGACTTGGTGAAGCAACAAGAAGTCCAGGCGCACGCCTCGTCCGTATACAGCTTGGCGGCTAGCGAGGACAGCTTATATTCTTGCTCCAACGACGGCACCGTTAAGCAATGGGACCTGAACACGCTCGCGCCCAAGGGAACCCTCATCGACGAGAAGCAAAAGGAATTCTACAAGCTGGTTTATGCTATCGGCAGGCTGTTCGTCGCTGACAACGAAGGGAACGTAAGCTGCGCCTCTGGGTAATTTTGGCGAAGCACTTGGGCGATAAATGCGTGTTGTAGGTGAATGTATATAAAGACAACAAGTACCAAGGACAGGTAGACGTGGCGGAAAACGTCAAAGATTTGGTCGTCAGCGGTCACTTTATATTCACCGTCAAGGATTTGGACCTCATCGTTGCGGAAATCAAGCTGGACGGTAAGTGAGAGGTAGCGGTTGAAATTTTGGAAATGACTTGGAAATTGCAGGGGATTCCGTCCAGTACGGCTACAAGGCCGAGTTCATGGGCCGCGCGCCGGTCACTCTAATCGGCGACAAGCTGTTGGCGTTCGTCGCCAGAGAAGGCAAGGAGATTCTGCTCCATCAAAATAGCGAGGCTGCCAAGTTCGGCCAGGCTGCCCGTATCGCTGTAAGTACCGTCTAACATACAGCTACACAATTGCTATTTTTCTCAGCTAACTCCAAAAATTACATACAAATATTTTAAATATATGTCGATCAGCTGGGAGACGTTGCCGTCTCTTCGTAAAAGTAGCAGATATTTTCTGATTAACTTTGTTTATTATATTTCCCAGTAACCTAGCTTTCACGTCCGTAGATCGATTAAATATTTCCTTATTTCTTTCTTCAAAGCATGTTTAAAAGAAAATGTTTATTACCGTCTTATTTCAACTCGCAAGCTAAAACTTCGATCGTCATTTATCAAAAGCACATGTTTTGTGCAGAAAGGTTGGTTTGTGTTTTTAGCGTCTATTCTGAAAAACTCTTTTAAGTTTCTGGTAAACAATAATTTTGGCGTATTTGACTTAAGTAGGCAAACAATTTCCAAAATGTCTTCAATGTATACTTTTGTATCCACCTTATACCTGAAAGTAGTAGGGATTGGTTACTTCTGTAACCCCCATCTGCATGAGAGATATATAAAAAAACGTTGCATTTTTGAAGAAACACCCTGTATATTTTCTGTAATAGCACGGCTCGGAGCTCATCATCAACGCGTTAGCAGGAGCGCAGTGGGGCAACGAGGAGGTCCTCTTCAGCGGCGGTTGGGATAAACTCGTGAGGAAATGGAAAATTAGAAACGGGTCGCCTAGTGACGAAGGCAGCGCCAACGTGGACATCGTGGTGAACTCGTTGGCCACAGGAAGCGCGGGATCGGTTTACGCCGGCGGCAGCGACGGCCATCTTGTGCGGGTCGATGTCAGTTAGAGGAAAGTCCGCCCTAACTTGTTAAAATTAAGTTAAGCACTTTGATTATGTTACTGATACGTAAAGAGCTGTCAGTTGCTGTGGCATGGTTGTTTATAGAATGCGAATTGCGAGCTAACACTTTGTACTTCTTGGAAATAAACGATGGTTGAGAAAGAGTGGTTTTTGTTTTTTCTCTTTGTCCCACCAATGAATCACTTTAAAATGAAGGATAAACTGAATTTCGGCCGTACGTTGCTGGAACTGTCCACCATTGCTCAATTTTGTGCTTATATATTAATAGTCGGACGGCTCGGTTATTTTTAAATCACACATTTCGAACGGTTTGGATTTAGTACATCTTGCGCAAGTTCAACATTTGCCTCGGTCTTCCCAATTGACGGTAAGTAAGCAATATGTTTGACCCGTTTGTATATAGATTTTTTTCAACTTGGTCCTTTACAAGTTAAAATTGGTATTTGGAATCATCATCTTACAGCTTAAAAATTGTTAGAGTAGTGAAGTATAAATAGAACACTTCGAAAAGTGAAGAAATATTGACGACGAATTGCAAAAAATCTGTTGAAAACAATATTAAGGATATTCCGGAATCAAATAGAAGACCGATGTAGAAACAGTGAAGTCTGTTCATAGATATAAGAAACTGACTAACTGATACGAATTAAGGAAAGACCCGGGCAAGCTGTCAGAATGAAATATGGCCGAACAGGTCCGTACTTTGCTAAGAATTTAATTATTTTGGGGTTTTATTAGGAAAGATACTAAATAATATTTTGTTATTTATGTATGTATTTATGTTTAAATCTAAAATAAAATTACAAATTATTTTTATTACCTACTTAAATTACTTAAAATTATCCACATAATGTGTCAGTATCACTATCGCTATCATCGCGTGTTCTAATTATTATTTGTTCTATATTATTTGCAATATGGATTTACGATTATTCTGCTTTTTCTATATGTTTAACTGCATTTGGGCAACTTTGTGGAGGGATGTTCGAAACTTCGGTTTCTATAAGTTTGAGGACATTGGAAAAAACATTGTTACGACGAATGGCAGATTTCAGTTGGCACCAAACATGTTCAATGGGATTAAATATACAGTGGTAACTGTATGCCCTAGATTTTTTGCATAATTGTCACAGACGTGTTCCTTTTGTAGGTTGAAGCTTTGTAGAACCTCAATTAATTGCTTTTTGGTATAATCTTATTGAAAATAAATGTCGTTATTATGCATGTAGTTTTGGATTGTCGCTTTTGTGTCACATGAGGAAGGGGTTTTAGTCAACTGTGTACTGTGAATGTTTGGACCTAGTTTGTTTTTAAACCAATTTTCAAATAAATCAGCGGTGGTGTCTTCATGGTAATCCAGAGGAGAATCTTTTTTTTGGCATGTAATTTGGAATCCAACCATCTTTAGAGCCAGTTATTATTTTACGTCTTTTTGATGGCGCGTTTGTTTTACACTTATCAGTTGACTCAACCCAACCCTTTTCCGGTGTATCATAAGTGTTGAACCAAGTTTCATCAATGTATGTTAATGACCACCCTTGGAGAATCCCATTCAAAAACAATTGGTCACTTTCTTATATCTATGAACCTATATACCTAAAAATATTTTCCAGAAGCCTCTTTGCGACAGAAATATTTTTAAATGTGTAGATAAACAGGCTGCCTGTGCGGTATTTTGTTGACAAAAATAAAAAAAACATTACGTGGCCATAAGTCTGATTCGGGTTCAACGAATCCTGTCCAAAAACTTGGCAAATGTTGTTGCTCGTTGCATATTTGCCAACACGTTTGTCAACGTCGGTAAAGATGTCTAACATGAAGCAATTTAGGACTCAAAACCACGTACTTTCTTCAAACTACACCTAAATTTAGAGAAAAGTTTATTTACAAAGTTATCTCAATTAGTTTTGGTTTTCATTTAATTCTTCTTCATCAAAATGGCAACGACGTCAAATTCAAGCAAGTGGCTCGGATTACGGTGAGCGGTGTTATATAGCGTGAGATTTCTTCGGAACGCAGAGGGGTTTCAGAACGGCTCTGAGATGATCATCAACGCGATGTCGGGAGCCAAATGGCGTAACCAAGAACTGTTATTCAGCGGTGGTTGGGACAAGACGGTGAAGATGTGGAAAATCAGGAACCATTGCCCCAGCGAAGAGGCTAGGATAGAGGTGGACTTCGTAATTAATTCGATGACTGCTGCGAAAGAGGGGTCGGTGTACGTTGGCGGGGGAGACGGCCATCTTGCCAGAATCGACGTCGGTTAAGTCTAGGGCGGCGGGTGAATTACTTAAGCGAAAGACTGACTAAACATAGAAGCGGGTTAGCTGTCCATGTGTGAGTGCAATAAAACTCGTCGCAAATAGAGTATACTTCATTGATTAGCGTAAAGATCGTGAACCTAACTGCATTGGCAATTGTACTACCTAATTCATTGAATATTCATACGTGACGGCATTGGGTCTCAGTCATCGTACGAAAACTATTGTATAGCCTCGCACGAAATGGCCGTCATCAGTAAACAAGTTTTCTATCAAAAATCCGCTATAAAATGTGACAGTTTTCATTTCCTGCACGATAGTTGCTTCAAAGGGAATTTATGGATATTAAAACATTGCATTCCCGGCGCAATTAAGTTCTTCTTACCTATATATGTTGTAAGTATGCTCTGTATGTACACCGTGCGCCAAATAAAATGATCCATTATAAGCTCTGGAAACCCATAGAATATACGAAAAAAAGTTTCGAACAAAAGCTTGCTGGATTCTACTGAACATTATAATTTGGTTGATACAGCGTCCTCCCCGACATCAACTTAAATATTTATTAAAATATAAGATAAATTACAAACTTACATTATATTTTGCCCTAGAATTGATATCTGAATGAAAATATAGTGTATTCCATTTGAAAATCTTGAAATTCGAGAAGGAATTTCTTAAGAAAGTGACCTCTATTTTAACCAATGATTTCAAAAATGTCGAAATATATAGGATTACTCATGATGAAGCATTAGTGCATCAGAAAATTGCAGGTCAAAGCGGGGCTGAATTATAGAAGATTGATGAGCGATGGTGGGTTTTTAGGGCAGCTTCTTCTGCAGCAAGTGAGATCTTCTCTATATGGAGTGACTTTCGCGATGGCGCTCGTATCTTCCAATTGCGCCATGTGGTAAGACGCTTATGAGTAGGTATTCCAAAAAATTTTTCAGCAATTTATTTGGCCGAGTGCATTATTACAACATTGGATTGGTGTCGGGCGTTATATCCGGCTTGGCTCTACTTATCGAAACTGAGGAAAACAAAAACCTGGACGCTTTAATTTTCGTCAATATGGTGCTCGAATCTGCATTCAGGAATGGCGACCACTTCAACGTTTTCAAGCTGACACCGGCTCGCGAGGTTCTAGCCTTCGTGGTGATAAGCGCCTTCCTGATGCAGCTTTTACAGACCAGAAATATGGATCTTCAGTTCACACACTTCTGGTAAAGCCCAATAACGTGATAACCGTTCTGTTCTATTCATCAGTATACTATCCAATTTAGGTTTTATGTGCCGCTAATGCCGATACGGTCAGGCGAGGATATTCGGTGCGCTCATCGACATCATTGCTTAAAGTACATGGGTGAGGTGAGCAAATTTATCTTTTTTTACCCATATAACGTTCGATTTTAGGTCAGGGGGTGGCTAAATATTTTGGACTAGGTTTCGCTTTAAGTATTATCAAGAAACTGATACCAAATCTGCTGCTACTGCACAGAGCACCAAGAAGAATGATCAGAATACTCTTCAATAAACACAATGTTAGTTTTGGTGCCTTTATGGGAGCCTATGTGGGGTTATATCGGGTAAGATGGACACTAGTCCAGAAAACATTAAACCTTGGACATCTTTTTCTCAGATGATAACGTGCACCCTCATTAGACGTAAAGGTCCTCATCGGAGGTATTTGGGGTTAATTGCGGGGTTGATTTCCTCCACTGCTTACGCACTGTCCCCCAATTTGCAAGTGTTGGTGGTCGGAATAACCACAGTCCTCCAAGTAAATGTTTCCTACTACGCAAATATTTGGAGATATCATTTTGGTTTGCAGTTGCTCTACCACAGCGTTGTGCGAAAGGCTGAACTGATATCCGGCGGTCTTCTTCGGCAAATCATTTTCATGCTATCCAACGGGTTGCTCATGCATAACGCCATCTTGGCGAAACCAACGTGCCCTCGGTATTACGCTAACATGGTGGACGTCGTCTCCAACAATTTGTGAGTAGCCTGCCTTTTCTTGGGCGGTAGGTTTTATAAGTTCTACTTTGCCATTTTTTTTAGGTTTTTGGAAGTTTACAAGAAATTGGTAGTTCGTTTTGTCCCATAAATCTCGAAAATTTGTCTTTACGCAATGACGTAGTTCTAAAAACAAAAAATATTTCAAAACTTAATCGTGAGGTCATTTACTTACTTCCTGTTTGATTTTTGATGTTTTTAATTAAGCACATACACACACGGGTTTCTCTTGAAACTTGTTTGTTTTTAAGGAAAAGGTAAATTTAAGTTTGTTGTAAGTACTGCCCAGGTTACGAACTGAAAATGATGAAGTTGAAACCTAACCTGGAGCTGATACAATTGTGCAGTTACGTCATAGCGTAATATCTGCATCAAGTTCATTATTGGATGTCGTAAATTGATACAGATATAGTTTTGATATCCGCGTTAAAACATACGGATCATTTTTGATTACGTCGCCGAGACATTGAAACAAAATTGATAAATGGTACACCAGCTTCGTCTTATTAGCGTAGTGATGATTTCTCTAAGGTTAAACCACCAGCATCATCACGACGGCTAAAGTTTTAAGCATCTCCGTTGGTAAGCATGCCATAAGAAAGAGCAAACTGGGACGTATGGTGCGCGTGAAGAATATAGAATAATAGAATAATAGAAGAATATAGAATAAGTCCATGTAAAGCGATTTGAACTTTACTGGCTGCTGCATCTTCTAGGTCTTCTTCTGCTGCAGTATCAACTGAAGCTGACCATATCCCTTAAGGTTCTTCATTATTTGTTCCAAATATTCTAACTTGTTTTTTTTTTAATTATGGTTATTTTGGACCATTTTTGAATCATTTCTAAAACAGTCTTTTTGGAAACATCTTCAACCAAAGCAGCCCTAAGAATTTGTCGGTGTGACCACATCTCAAAGGCTTCAAGTTTCTTGTGAGAGCGCAGACCTGGTTTGGTCTTTACTTTTAAACAGATTTCCCATTCTAACGAAGGGGTTTTCTCTTTACGGCACTTTACTTCTACAGATTCTCATTAATCGCAGTACCCAAATAAAAGCGCACAAAAATACAAAAAAACGATTTTATTTAAACCTAATTTACAAAATTAAAATGGAATAAAACATCCTAAAATAAAATAATATCGACGGGAAATGAGGGGAAAAAATAACGAAGAACGAATACTGGCGCTAGCGGAAGAAAGAGACGCTAATTAGTGAAAGTCCGATGTCGAACAATTTCACGCGACTTACTAGGCACGATAATTTATGCACTAATATCGTAATAAGTTAACGTTACTTATGTAACAAAAAAAGAGAATGATGACCTGATGATGCTCGGGAGATTCGGTTGCGAAACCTTTTACGGACCTCGTGATTAATTTTGCCACGTTCCGGAAGTTAGTTCTTAGCGCGGTTTCCCTTGCCCGGAACTGGGATCGCTCCGGGTGGTAGATTCGGAAAATCGCCGCCCCTGTTTTTGGGGTTGTTCTGCGGAAGATTTTGTTCGCCTTCCTCTTCGAACGGCGGAGGGGGTAGCGTGCTCGGCACGTCGCAATCTTCGGTCGGCGGTACGACGCATCTGAAAAGCGTTTAGTGAGGGACCAAGGTCTGGCCGAGGGTACCGCGTTACCTCAAGGATCTCCTGTCGAATACCAACATGGCCGGACATCTTTGCAACCTCGGGTATCCGCCCTGGCACTGCCAATACCTGTTGCACGATTTTCCCAGCGGTACGTTGCCGTTGGGATCGTCGTTACAAAGCGCTGAAACAGATTGTTCATATTTTTATTATTAATATTTCGGTATTCGAAAAAATTATTTAATGGAAAGAAAACGTAAAGTATCACAATGAACATGTGTGATAATTGGCTTTGCAGGCGACGCTGTATTGTCCCGTAGGGTTACAAAACACGTCAAAGAAAATTTTGTGAATTTAAAAAATTGGTTTCAAAATAGTTAACTTACTAATAAACTTAAGAGACTACATTAGAATCAAAATTGTCAAATCAATGAGATAAGGTGTACATATCAACTTTTCAACGAGAGAAATAAGCGGACTTCTGGCCAAATTTTCATAGCTTAAATATCTCCCACACATCGAAAATTTAAAAATATTATACACTGGTTAATGAAAAGCCGTCTTATTTATTTATTTGTTTATTTTACGTCAGAATTAAAAGGTTGTCTTGAAATTTAAGAAAATATTGGAAAAGATAAAATAGTTATCAAATAGAACATCAGTTCAACGCCCTTGCACGTAAAACCGATGGATGGACAAAACATTTAATTTCTAAATTAAATTATAGGTATTCTACATTTAAGGATAAGATATTTTTTACTATTTAATAGATATGAATTACTTGAAATAAAAAGTATTTCCACAATTTTCTTTTCTTTACTATGATTGTTGATTATGATTACGCTCCAATTACTCGACTATAAAAATTCATATGTACTTTCAGGGTTTCATTTGTAAAAGTTATTTTGATTTTGTAATGTAATATATTCTATTCTGTTCAATATGATGGTTGTGGTTCATACAAAATTCAAAAGCACATGACAGATAGGAACCCATACCAAGTGGTGATGTATAGGGAATTCTGGACACCCCTTAGTATTCTATCTAGAAGACGATTTCTCAAATCATCGTGGAGGCGTTTGCTATTTTTTTTTTAAGAGCGCATTTCTTGTTTCCTAGTCGCGCTGCTTACAATAATGTAGATTTGAATTTCTATCCAGTTTCAGCTTCAATCAAATTCCATCTTTTTTGTTAAAGATTGTATTAGTCCTAGCGCGTTTTTCTAGAATTTATTCTCGATGTTGGAAGGAATCAAGAGTTTGTTCTATTTTTAAAAATGGTGAAAAAAGTCACGTAGGTAATTATAGACCAATCACAATGTTATGCAATTTTTCAAAAATACTAGAAGTTACTTTGGATGACAACTCCCTAAAAAACATCTCGCCAAATCAGCATAGCTTTTATAATTTTCAACTTCAGGGGTGCCACAAGGTTCTAATTTCGGACTCCTCTTGTTTCTAATGTTTATTGATGACGTTTTTTCAGTTTTCGGCAATCCTCAAACCGTGATATTTGCGGATGACTTAAAAATGTATTCCTCCATTTCCCGTGTACCTGACTGCGTCACTTTGCAGAGTGCAGTGGATACGCTGTTCGACTGCTCTACCTCAAACGATTGACAAATTTAACTGCAAACTAAATGAATTGTTTGAGGTCCGGTTCGCGTCAGCTGTGTACAACTTCAATTTCGATTGCGGACTGTCTTAATTGCGTACCAAAGGGCAATTTAATTAATTTGCTTACTAAATATTATTATTTTTTTAAATATCTATAAGGTTGTTCGGAAAGTCATTTCGTTTTTTCCCGTCAGAGGACTTAATTACGTTTTTTCGAAACCAACTTCACACTTAAGCCGCATAACCATTATATGTCTTGAGAGCTGATATTGCAAGGCTTGTGTGTGAAAAAGTTCTATTAATTCTACGCAGTAGTTTTTGGTTGGTGCCCTTTTAAATATGGAGAGCAATAAGCAGCATTTTCGTCATATTTTACTTTTTTACTTCAGAAAAGGTAAAAATGCTGTCCAAGCGAGAAAAAAATTGACGGATGTGTATGGAGAAGGCGTGTTAACAGTACGCCAGTGCCAGAACTGGTTTGAAAAATTTCGATCCGGCAATTTTGATGTCGAAGATGCACCACGGTCTGGAAGGCCGGTCGAAGCTGACAAAGATGCGATAAAGGCATTAGTTGATGCAAATCGGCGAATAACCGCACGAGAGATCGGTGAGAGATTAAATTTGTCGAATTCGACTGTTTATGGCCATTTGAAAGGCATGGGCTTAACCTCGAAGCTCGATGTGTGGGTGCCCCATGTCCTTACGGAGCGAAATTTGTGTCGTCGCGTTGACGTGTGTGATTCGCTCCTCAAACGTCAAGAAAATGATCCATTTTTGAAGCGGATTATTACTGGGGACGAAAAATGGGTTGTATACAACAATGTTAAAGGCAAGAGGTGATGGAGCAGAAAAGATGAACCGGCTCAAAGCGTGTCAAAAGCCAACATTCACCAAAAAAAGGTGATGCTCTCCGTTTGGTGGGATGTCAAAGGAATCGTTTTTTTTTGAGCTTTTGCCGGACAATTCAACGATTAATTCAGAAGTCTATTGTCATCAACTGGACAAATTGAATGATTCACTTAAAGAGAAGAGGCCCGAATTAATCAACAGGAAAGGTGTAGTGTTCCACCAGGATAATGCGAGACTTCATACAAGTTTAGTCACTCGCCAAAAACTTTTACAGTTTGAATGGGACGTACTGCAACATCCACCATATTCTCCAGATCTGGCGCCTTCCGACTACTATTTGTTCCGGTCCCTGCAAAATTTTTTGGATGGCAAAACCTATACCTCAAATGAAGATGTCAAAAACCACCTGAACCAGTTTTTTGCCAGCAAGGACCAAAACTTTTATGAGAGGGGAATTATGTTACTGCCAGAAAGATGGCAAAAGGTGTTGGACCAGAATGGCCAATATATAATTTAATAAAATATTTATTCATTATACGAAAACTGTCTTTCATGTTCCCCAAAAAAAACGAAATGACTTTCCGAACAACCCAATATATATTGCTCTCTAAATGGAATGTTTATTATTATTAGTATTTAAGAGCCTCTTACCGGAGGTGGAGAATACGTAAAAACGATCAGATTGCAAATTTATGTAACCAAATCACCTAGGGACTAACCAAAAAGAGGGAACACCAGGAATACAGCGTAAAACTTACGATGTTTCTGACACCCGTCTACATTCTCGGGCCAGTCGCAGGCGTGCGTTCGGTCGTTGTACAGCAGACCGCCGATGCAAAGCTGTTCAGTTGCCGTGCCGTTCCAGCAAGTCCAATACCGGGTGCACGAGGTTTCGTGCTCGAAGATTCCGTACAGCCAGTCGCAGTGCTCGGTTCCTATAGGCGCGTCTGAAAAATGCCCTACAATATTTCAGGTCTACGAGAACCGCGGACCACTAACTCGCTTGCTGTTTTCCCTCGCAGTAGTTGGACCGCCAGGGGTAGTCGCAGCCTTCGGTGACTCCCCGGTTCTTCCCGGCGAAAACTAAGCCGTTGGGACAGTCGTACAGTTCCGGCTGGCCGTTGACGCATTCCCAGTACCTGTCGCAGTACGTCGTGTCAGCGATCACCCGCGATTTGACGTTGCAAGGGTCCTCCTGGTTGTTTTTCAGCTGTTGTCCGCTCACCAAGCCTGAGATATGAGTCTTCGTTGATTATTTTTGGATAACAATTATAATAAAGTTTATTATCCCGGATTATAGCAATTTGCAGAAGGAAGATTGGGGCTGTAGACGGCTGCTTTCCGAGGCAAAGTGCTTTTCTTTACAAGAATGTCCTAAATTACCGGCAATCGATGAAGGAAAGAAAGTGGCTGAAGTGTTTATGAACTTAGCCGAGGCGTTTGCCACTGTAGCACACCGTGTCCTACTGGGCAAACTTCATAAAATGACTATTAAAGGAATTGTGTATGACTCATTTAAATTCTATGTCAGTGATAGAACACACTGCGTAAAGATATCTAATGTACACAAGAGTTGAGCATTCGGAGTGCCGCAGGGTACAATATTTGATCCATTTCTATTAAGTATATACATAAATGGTATATTACCAATCAATGACAGCCCAATCTTTATGAAAAACACTGAAATGACGGTAGCTAGATTGAAGAATTGGCTAGATTGCAGCTTGTTGTCGTTGAACGTAGGTAAGGCCAAATTTATAACCTTAGGCCTAACCCAGAGGAACCTCCACAATATTCGGAGTAAAACATTAACTAACCAAAATTGTGCAGTATAGCAAAACATTATTGTTAGTTTATTTTGATGAGAAATTGAATAAAATATCAAAATCGTCGTCAAAAATGTGTTTTTCTGTGTTTAAGTGTGCAGCATAATTAGAATCTATACTATTGTTTTTAAACGCTCTTTTATGTTCGTTAATGCGTTTCTTGAAGGATCTCCCTTTGTGTCCAATATAAATTTTAGGACAAGATCCCCATTTCAACTTGTAGACACCTGATGTTTGAGATTTTGGACATTTCGTTCTATTGTGTTGTTGTGAGTTGTTAGTTCTGAAAGCTATTTTTAAACCACATTTTGACAAATGTTTTGAAACTTTTTCACTGGATTCTCCTATATATGTAATTCTTTTAAATCGTTGGTGTTCTGTATTAGGTTTCGGATAAATAGAGTTTACTGTTAGTGATATTAAGTTCTTTGTTGTAATTTTCTGTTGAAAGAGTGGCATATATTTGTTGACAACAATTTTGATATTTTACATACAGCCACAAAAAGTAGAAAATTAAATTTATTGGAAGCCGTGGAGATTAACAAAATCAGACATTCAAATGTATTGCTTAACGTTCAATTAGATTTAAATACCTCCCCTTTATCGAACTTCTCACAACAAGATTAACATTAACATTAATATCTGAATTTTTAGTTGTTAATTACATTAATTTAATTTTAATTTAATTATAATTTAATTTTAATTTAATTTTGATTTAATTTTAATTTATTTTAATTTAATTTTAATTTAATTTTAATTTAATTTTAATTTATTCAATTTTAATTTTAATTTATTCAATTTTAATTTTAATTTAATTTTAATTTAATTTTAATTTAATTTTAATTTAATTTTAATTTAATTTTAATTTAATTTTAATTTAATTTTAATTTTATTTTAATTTAATTTTAATTTATTTTTAATTTAATTTTAATTTAATTTTAATTTAATTTTAATTTAATTTTAATTTAATTTTAATTTAATTTTAATTTAATTTTAATTTAATTTTAATTTAATTTTAATTTAATTTTAATTTAATTTTAATTTAATTTTAATTTAATTTTAATTTAATTTTAATTTTAATTTAATTTAATTTTATTTAATTAAAATCATACTTTTCAAAATCAAAATATACTCATCTCAACTGCTTTTCCAAGACAGCAAAGGTTTTACTCTATAGAAATTTTACGTGAAAGCAATTGTAAGATTCATGTTTAAAGCCATGTATTATAAAACATTTGGCTATGCAAAAACATTTTAAGCATACTGGTCCAAGGGTTTGCAATGCTCTGCCTCCGTGTTTTAGACTGAAGCCCTATAGGAAAATTAAATATAAAATAAATGCTTGGATTGTTGAAAGTCATTTCTGTATTTAATTGCGTACTTTTCCTTTTCCATCTCATGTATGATTGTGACATTATTATAAATAAGTATAGTCTTGCAAATTGTGCAGCGACAAAGTGTTGTGGGTTATATTTATGGCCCAAACTGTAATTTGTTATATTGTTGTTGCTAAATAAATAAATAAATAAAAAATAAATAAATAAAAATAAAGGACGACAAAGAGGTAAAAGGTAATATTTAATTTATCTTCCAATTTGTACTTGAGTTGTTTGTAGAATACCAGTATTCCAAATTTACGCTGCGATCTGTAAAATTTTTATAAATATGTTCGGTTACGGCTTGTTGGTTTCCTTTGTTGTTCCAACTGGTGCATGCTTATCAGGAATAACTAAAATTGCGTTGCTGAGAAAGGCCACATTATCATTAACATCCTCTAGAAATTATGTAAAGTGAACAACAAAAGGGAAAGTAGACAGAACAAAATGTTCATTATTCATATTTCATCTGGCAGTGTTGAACATATTGATATTTTATGGGAAAAGAGGAAGGAAAACACCAAAGTAAAATTATCAAAATTACAGTTCGAGAATCAACGAATTCCCATTCCGTTGGCAAAACGCATTCTTGACTCTAACTTTCAACTTTCATTCGAGGCTTGGTTCTCTGAATAGCCTTCGCAACGAGTAACGTTCCCGCCAGGAATTGTTTTAATTAAGAGGAACAACGAGCAACGAATACCGCAACCAAAACAATTTGATGCGTTATGACGCTTTCTTTTTTGTCACCTAGTAATTTACCGGGTGTTTCCGTCACCTTTTGCTAATTTCTAGATTAAACAGAATGTTAACATGGCTCAAAATGTCTCTGTAAATAAATAAAACTAAAAAAAAAATTGATTTTTTGAATCTGTGATAGCTGCAAATAAATAAAATCTACTGCTGCCGAGAGCTTGACTGAAACTGAAGAAGCCAACAGGATGGTTGGCGAAACGTCAGCAAGGTTCTACTCAGCAAAAACCGACGCAGGAGGAATCCAGAAGTTTTGTGAAAAGGATTACATCAATGCTAAACTCGCCAATTAAAGTCAAGTTATTAGTTTTAATGTCCCATTTATTTCAAGAAGAAAATGAAATTAATTCAAATAACATTCGAATATTTCAAATGGTTATTCCGCATGAAAAAATAAGATTTCTTTTTAATATGAACATGGGTATATATAGTTTTCGAGATACAAGTTGTCATTTTTTTTTCCGTTTATAATAAATATTATTTAACACGACTTTTGGTTGCTTTGTAAACACCATATGGTGCTGTGCTGTGATTAGATTTGTTCCAAAAACGAAAACGGAGTTTCATCAATTTCAACTAAGACTCCTGTGACAACAAACAACGCTCCCAAATTTTAACACAAGATATTTATTAAACATCTTTTTTTTTAAGTTTGCCATCCTGTGTCTTGCAAATTCATTTTCGGGATATGTTCATATGAATTTTTTTTATTTATTCATGTAGTATCATTTCTTAAAGTAGTTATTTCCGGACACACATTTAGGAACGTTTAGTTATAAAATAAATGCCCTATTATTTAGTTATTACTTTTAACGATAGTTGTATTTAATAGACTAAATTTTGCACCGACTGACTCAAAGTATTGAATTTTACTTTTTATTAAACTTCTGGATTCCGCGTGGGTCGGTTTTTGCTGAGTCGAACTTGCTGACGTTTCGCCAATCATCCTGTTGGCTTCTTCAGAGCTTGACTGAAACAGTTTCAGGCAGTCAGGCTCAGTAACGACATATTGGCTTTTAGGCTATTTTTATTTTTTCGAAAATTTATGGAAAACTCGAATTTCATCAAGTGAAGAAAGCATTATTACTTTTTCTGCCGAAATATTATACCACGCCCTAAGTGGGTTGGGTCGGGATACCTGGGAAGATCAAAAAGCCAACAAAAATAATTCTCAGTGACGATAGGATATCTAATCCGGATCTGCCGTGATGCGAAACGATGTACTTCTATCATTAAAAAAACAATTTGCATCAATAAAACAAGCCAGCCCGTTAACCTTCACCTTTTCTGATCCCGCGTGTCTTGGAGTTGAAATAAATACTACCTGCAGCACGGATTCTTCAGGTTCGCCCGTGAGAACAAGCATTTCTTTATTTTTTTTTTGCTAAACTCGAGATAACCTTGGTTCGAGGGCAAAGCTGCTGATCAGTTTGGACGTATTGGACTTTCGCTGATAGCGTTGACTAATCGAGATCAAGCAAACGCCATTTTTAAATCTACCTTTAGCGATTTTCCTTTAAAGAAACTGCTATATAGTTATCAATACTTGGCAACCCTGTGTCAAACTGACTGCTGATTCATCTTCTCGCATTTTTTCTTCGGTTTTAGTAGTTCCAACTATGTAATAATAATAATAGAAACAACAACATTATAATACAAAATCTACATAATTTTATTCTAAGCTAAGGAAGGGACAAGAAAAAAAACTAAATAAAAAACTATACACCTATACAGGGTAAGTCGAAAGCTAGGCTAACCCGTTTCGATAATGAACGGTGTTAATCGTTGTTTCCAAATATTTTGTTGAAACTTAAGATACACTCTTCTTCTAAAGGTGTGTTTTTTCTTCACGTACGTCTATGGTCTTCAAAGTTACTTGGGTTAAAAACTTAATAATAGTACAAGGTGTTTCAAAAAACATGGGAGGGCTTGTTTTTATCCCAACATAGGTCTGATTCTGCTTCATTTCACAGGTTGTTAAATAATTTTATTTTTTTGATGTTTTGATAATTTATAGTTTATCCATAACGTGTAGCAACTCCAATTAGGAGGGTAAAAGTTATTTAAACTCACACAACTTTTTCTTTGATAGCAACATTAATTAATATTTAGTGTCAGATTAAAGCTACTTTTCTCCATTTAGATTTCTTTAATGAGATAAATGCATTTGTGTTGTGTTATGTTGTGTATTGAATATCTTTATTTTTTAAAGATTTTTTAAGTCCTTAATTTAAACTAAGTGTGTACTAGTTTAAGTAACTTTTACCCTCCAAATGGTGTTGGATTTGCTACAGCCGTTCTGGATAAATTTCCGTACGAAACGAAGAACAATCGAACCCATGTTGATATATAGAAAAGATCAGTCCAGTTTCATTAAATTTTAAACTACATCAATGACAACTTAAAATGTCTATATTTTTTGAATTTATTTTTAATATTTACATGAAAAGTGTAACCAAAAAGGACAATTATTCATATACACACGAAATTTTGACAAAATGTTTGAAAAACTGCGACATTTATAAATAAAAATGTTATTTTCTAAAATAAAGGTTAAGGCCCTGGAATTATTGAAACCGGGAGTGAAAATAAAAAATGGCATAATAATAATAATCAAAATGTTCTTACACAATGAAGCTGTCAACAGCGGGCTGACCCATCTTTTCGACTCACCTCGTATTTAATATTATGTCGCTAATTTGTATATTAACAGACTTCCCGATACTGCATCACTTCGGGTTTCATTTCTTTTTCCAAAATGCTCCACACTATAGATGCGTTATACTCGTAATTAGCGTAATTAGCTAGATAATTAGCCAGATAGTTTTTGTGTATTGTCCATGCACTCACGATCTACATTTTTGTTATTGCCTATTTTCTCCATTTACGGGAATATTAATAACCTTTAATTATTATTATTATTATTAAGAACTAGAAAAAAACGATTTAAAACATTGTTTAATTTTTTTTTTTGTTAATAGTAAACAGTTAGATGTCCTGCTATAGTGACAATAAATAAAAGGAAGAGGAATTAGTTCTATGGCACAGACAATAAGAAAAACTATGTTCTGCTGTGCGTCACATATATATATATATATATATATATATATATATATATATATATATATATATATATATATATATATATATATATATATATATATATATATATATATATATATATATATATATATATATATATATATATATATATATATATATATATATATATATATATGTTGCTTTCGTAAATGCAAATGCAAAAGCATTATTAATTTTCGTTCTCAATTTATATTTTGTCATTTTGCTCGTAGAGTTTCCGTTGTTGGACTTAATCTATTGATAATTTCTTTGTATCGTAATCTGTGATGTGTTGGGTTGATACATAACCCGCTAATAGACCTTTAGGTACTACTTGGGTGCTTAATTAATTGAAGGTGATGAGAAAATGGCGCCAGCGTAGTAACGAATATATATTGTATAATAAATATTATACGTAAATAAGAAATTAAATGTCAGAACGTCATCCAAGCCTTTGCTTTTGTTTTCTGGTCAATGAAATAACGCCAGAAATATTAACGTTACAAACTAAATACACAATTTTATTAAAGATCTTCGATAGCCCCCGGGAAGTCTGCGGACTCGGCATCTGTCCGCGGCGTTTCAGAGAAATGCTAATAAGATTATAACACACATCGCTTTCTCTGAGGCAGCGCTTTCTACTCGAGCAATCCCAAACCCTGCCGGCGGTAATAATCATAATGGTTCTGTTTACTCTTTTGTTTTTTGTCGTGCGACGTGCGACCGGTCGGGCAATGAGAAATTTTAATTGGTTCAATTGTTTCTAGGTTGTTGCCTGCGGCAAACCTTCATCTTCGTTCAGAAATTTAAAGGTACAAAAATAGATGAACCGTTTTTATGCAACACGCACGTTGGATCGACAAAAATTGATTTTGAAAAATATCGAGAAAATGACCCCCGAAAACGTGTTATCCTGTAAATATCCTCCATAATTAGACTCCAAAACTAAGATGGGTGTATATTTTATTTTTCTTCGCCTTCAATTGGTCGCTTTGTACTATAGATAGCCAGTTAAATTGGTACGTAAGATCAGTATCAGTGGCAACATGCAACAAGATTAGAAGTGAATACAAAGTCCTATTTATCTCAGTCTCGTTTGAACATTTACAATCTCCATTCTGTTATCTCGATCTAATTGGACTATCGACTCTTGTCCTTGGATCGTCTCTTACAAGCACTATTATTTAATTAATTATACTGTGTTATATAATATAACTTTTATTAATAAGTACCAAGTGGTACGAATTCGTCAGCAATTTTCAGTGCGTCTATCAAAACATCACCGTCCACTTTAAACGAGAAATTCTCATTTGCATCGCATCTTCATTTAAGTAACCGAGCCAATCCTTTCGTTTATGTTCCAGTCTCGTTCGGTATGCAAATCTCGTTAAACAACGTTTTTTTCGTCTGGTTCCGACGAACGTGAAATGCCATTTTTGTTTTCCACTAATTGAAACGGCTGTTCGGTTCCGATCCGAGGTCGCTATCGAGATGAAACGCCGCGTGCTGGTCACTTCCACCGCAAGAACAACAAATCCGCGCAGAGATGTTTATTTTATGTTATTGTATTTTATATTTTTCATTCATTTGTTAATTTAGGTAACTAATATTCGCCACGCCTTGTAAACGTCAAGATGGGTACTATTATCCATACGCCCATCGGATTGTTCGCATTTTTGTAAAACAAATACTGATTCATGTCGAATTGTGAAATTTTTGAGTACCAAGAAAAAAAAATTCTGCTTTTGTAGAGTTACTGATTATTTGCGTAAATTTAATGTTGTTTTCTTTTATTTATACCTTAGCAACTCTGTGTAAAGTGCCTTTCAAGTCTCTCCAAACCTTGTTAAATATTAAAATTTGTACCAATAATAGTGTTGTCGACTGACATTTTTTCAAATATCTCGCATATAATTGACGAAACCTGAAACTCCCTCAAATTATCGCATCTTTAGCAGGTTTTCATTTACCCACAAAAACGGGAGTTTTTAGGATGTTTTAGATTTTCTGGCATATGATTTTTGTCAAGAGAGTTTTTCAAGAAAATACGTGTTTTTGGAAACAATGGAGTACGTGGCAATGACGTCGTCGTGTCTAGATTTAGGGCGAGAAATGGTGATTTTCATTTGGATTTTTTCAAATATTTTGAACAGCGTATATAATAGACGAAAACCGTAAATACAAAAATTGTAGCTCTCGATGTGGGCTATAACACTATTTAATACAATTTTTGACTTACGGCTAATAATTTTATAGGGAAAAGAACGATTCTGAGGGTCTTTAAGATTTTTGCGTGATTTGAGTAAGTCCTTTTTCAACAGGTGTGGACTTCTACCCTTCTGCCAGATCTAAAGTCGATAGCTGCAAACTTAAGACACCTGCTAATTTTTGAATGTAGCACCTAATATCTTGAACACCCTGTACAACAGGAGAAAACCTTAAATACAAATCGTCATGTAAAAGAAACTGATTTGCGAAACACGGGCCCACTTTCCAGTTGTGTTGAATTTGCGGCCGACCCTGTGCATTTTCAAAAAATCGTCAAGAATAGAAGTTTATGGAGTCGAATCTTCTGCGTCTTGATCTTGCAAACGGTTTCTGAAAAATGGTCTTTTTTGTAGACCCTTGCAAACGCGATATTTATTTTTTTTTAAATACTTCTCGATCCCCAAGTTCAATGTGAAGTCGATTGTCTCTAATTTCAGACACTTATGGTGTTTCATAGCAATGTCCAAAAAAAAATTCGACAATCGCGAAAAAAAGATGGATGCCGGGGTCGGATCGAGGCCATTTTCTATAGAAAGATTGAAAGAACTTCAGCATGAATGATGTCTTTCAAACAAACCGAACAACAATCGTAATTTTCTTCTGAGCTTACTTCAGCGCGAGTTTGAAATCAGATTTTCGATTTCACCAAAAAGACAAGTTAGTCAATATTGCATACTCGTACCATTGCTTAAGCATTCAATCGCCTAATTTCCAAAAATTTCTCTGCGTTTCTACCGACACAGCATCCGCCACTACTCGGAAGTACTTAGAGAACGACTGATTACCCAGGAAACCTCGTTACGTGGTTTTTGCGCAAACACACATCCGACATGCGTTACGTAACCAAATTTCCATCTGTGGCAACGTACCCGCATAAGAGAGGTGCGGGCGCTGAGCAGTTAGTTGAGTTTGATTTGGGTTAACGAACTTTTTGCCCGTCTATCGATAATTGTTGCTGCACGTCACTTTAAAACTGATTAATAATCCTGGACGGCCGTGCCGTACATTTTCCTTGAGCGCTTAAGTAATTCCGGCGGCGTACCCACCCACCGCATTGTTTCAACGATGGATGAGACGTAGACTGACATCGTTTCTTGGCTCGGTTTTTCTGTTGGTGCGAGCCACATGGCAAAATTAATAAAAAAATAAAAGAAAAATTTAAGAACTGACATTACGGATAGCAAACACGTTTTATTTTAGCCACCATTTGATATTTGTGGAACAATATAACGAACTATTTTTTATGTATTTCTTCTGTGTATTTTAAAACAATATTCTGACCGAGTAATGCTTCACGCGTGATGATGTTTACATCTTATATACGACATATACTGTTGTGTCAATATTTTTTATTATTTATTTATTATTATTCATTTATTTATTATTTTTTTATTTTCGATATTCTTAAAGTTCATGCACCACATAAACACCACAGTATAATACAGTTTTATCCAAGTTTCAGGTTGAGGACTTTAAAATTTCGGTGTATTTTGTTTATTTCTGGAAGTACACATTACAAATTGTCACGTTTTTTTGAGTGTGGAAGAATATATTTAAAAAAAATTTCTATTGCATATTTATTATTTTCTTTCTGTCGCACAAAAAAAAATATCGAACGATAGTTACCAGTCAGCGCCGCAGCGGCGATAACACAAACTAAACTCCTCATTTGGTCGGCGCTTCGTCGACGTACGTTTTAATGCAAACGCCCGGTATATATCACCAATTGTCAACCCGGACGAACCAAGACTGAAGCGAGTTCGAATCGCCTCCTACTTTTGACAGCACGACCTCCTGGTCAGCTTTGAAAGTGGTGTTCCTCTTCCACCACGTACGCCGCCCGTGGTGGTCTCGCTCGAAGAGAATAAGCGGCCGCTACGCTGACAGGCTTATCCGCCGAGTAACACGTCTGCCATCTGAAAATTAAAATATTATTTAACATCTGAATACAAAAAAAAAACTATCAATTCTTGAACTGAAAAAAAGTATTTTCCATTTGGAAATCGAAACATTTGCACGAATTTAAAAATTTGAGCTAAAGCTTAATTTCGTATTTTCTCTCTAGTCTATGTAACGAGTTTATATAGTAATTTTAGATAATTATTTGAAATAATATAACATATTGAAAATTACAATAAAAAAAATTGGACAAAACATTCGAAAGTCTTTTTTTAATGGAAACCAACCATCTTATCTTTTTATATTATCTTATATTATTCTGAATATTTATAATATACGAATATATATAATATACAATTTTTTATACTAATTTTACTGATATATCTATATGTTATTGTACAACTATGTACAACTAGCTGTTCCATTAATAAACATTATTTTATAATTATTATTAAATAATCAATATTATTATTATCATTATCATCATCATCATCATCATCATCATCATCATCATCATCATTATTATTATTATTATTATTATTATTATTATTATTATTACTATTATTATTATTATTATTATTTAATGGATTCCTCAGTCATCGCTGGATGTGGCTCCTTCCCTGTTTCGGCATTGGCTGCAAGAAGACAGGTGGGTAAGTTTTAGGTTATTTAAGTACGCGTCTGACAATGAGAGTTATTTTTTGTAGTTGGTGGCATATCTGTTCTCTAATGTTGAGCTTTTTTAGGTTTTCGATCAATGTATGTGGTATTTCTTCGGTTGCGCCTATAATAATTGGTACTATAATGGCTCTTTCTTGGTTCCACGTCTCTTTTATTTCATTGGCAAGAGGTAAGTACTTACTAATTTTCTCGTCGTGCTTTTTTTGTAGGTTTGTGGCGAGTGGGATGGAGAAGTCAATCAGGTAAGTATTATTATTATTATTATTATTATTATTACTATTATTATTATTATTGTTAATTATTTATATTTCAGTAAAATGTTTTTTCAAGGTATGAAAGCGGCATTAGTACTACTACCTACTACTACCGTGTATGGGTCCCCTTATAATGATGAACTAAACGTTCACGGTATCGCTGTTGCAATTTTTTTCTAGAGATCTACATTGTGAAAATGGTAATGTGAATCTGCAAGGTTGCGTGTTTCTTAAACGGATATTATTCAGAATATTGAGCTGCATGGAATTTAAATTTCGACGGTGACGACGGTAGCGCTCTGTCGGAAGTGATAAATAACGTCGTAGCTTTGGTACACTTTTAAATTTTGAAATTGACGAATTTTTCGCGACATTTTTGTAAAAATATTACAAGGCGTGTCCGTTTAACGGCAGAAACTCTACAACCGAATTTGATCCGACCGCTTATTGCGACTTACTTTCATTTGAAAGCGGCAAATTGCCCAGTGAAAATACATAAATTGTTGCCAATTAAGTATATGAACTTTATCGTCACGCGAATCGTAAGCAATTAGGACATTTTTATAAGTATTAACTGATAAATCTTTCAAAAAGAACTCCTCGGTGCGTATTAAGCTCTAAAGCAGCTGATGATTCAAAACACAAGGTTTATATTTCCAAAAGATAAGGTTTGATATCAAAATATAGGAGACATTTTGAAAAACAAATTTTTTGGGCACTGTAACACAAAATATTGACATTTCAGATTCTTGCAGTTATATTTCAGGTTCGTATTATAAGGGATGTTTTTTGTTCGATGTATAGAACTTAGGGTTGTGATAAAAGAACGATGGATTATTCGATTGACATCAATTTTATTTATCCGAAAGAAAATCTTGCGGCATTACATTTTAAATATGATTTTTGGCATATGACCGCCACTGCTGGCGCGGGTGTAGTCCAATCTGGACGTCCAATTTTCGATGACTTTTTCCAACATTTGTGGCCCATATCGGCAATAACACGGCGAATGTTGTCTTCCAAATGGTCAAGCGTTTGTGGCTTATCCGCATACTTTACATAGCCCCACAGAAAGTAGTCTAGCGGTGTCAAATCACAAGATCTTGGAGGCCAATTCACGGGTCCAAAACGTGAAATTAGGCGGTCACCAAACGTGTCTTTCAATAAATCGATTGTGGCACGAGCTGCGTGACATGTTGCACCGTCTTGTTGAAACCACGTCTCCTGGACAGAGTTGGAGTTAGTAATCATAGCTCTATACCGATCACCATTCTGGCCATCATCGTTTTTGAAGAAGTACGGACCAATGATTCCACCAGCCCATAAAGCGCACCAAACAGTCAGTTTTTCTGGATGAAACGGTGTTTCGGCATACACTTGAGGATTAGCTTCGCTCCAAATGCACCAGTTTTGTTTGTTGACGTAGCCATTCAACCAGAAGTGCGCTTCATCGCTAAACAAAATTCGCTTATGAAAATCGGGAACAACGGCAATCTCGTTTTGGGCCCATTCGACGAATCTACGCCTTACTTGATGATCGTTTGGCTTCAATTCTTGCACGAGTTGGATTTTGTAAGCACGTAAACCAAAATCCTTCCGCAAAATCTTCCATAAAGTGGATGGACACGGATCCGATTCCTGTGCTAGATGGCGGATGGACTCATTCGGGTCTTCCTCAATGCTACGCTCTACAGCAGCAATAGCTTCTTCTGTACGCACCGTACGGCGTCTCTGGGGATGCGAGTTATCAACAAGAGTAAACGTGGTGCGAAAACGTTCCATGGTTAATCAAATTAACTGCTCTGATGGACGATTTTGTCGACGATAAAATGGAGGTAGCACGCACAGAACCATTATTTTCGAAATAAAATTGCACTATTTGCAAGCGTTGCTCAGGCGTGAGTGTATTCATGATGAATTGCCAAACCAAACTGAGAATAAATCACTTGACAGCTGTTAAATCGGTAGCCATCTTGAACAGTAATGCCAACTTAAAGTTCTATAAAAAAAACACATACATGGTAACGTAAGTATTTTCAATTCTTTGAATATTGGGCGGCGAACCTGAACCGCGGACTTCTGCACTCTAAAGGCTCTCTCGGCCTCCGTCGCGGTCCTCCACAATAGTAGTTCATATGGTAAGACACTATGAAACAGTGCAAAATAAAATATACTGATAGCGCTTGCGAGATGGAACCTCACAGTTGTCTCATAACAAAAACCTGAGAAGACAATTTACTGCTCCATCATGGAGAGTGTAGTGACAGACTTTTTATTTAAATTAGTTAGATCTTTCTCCGATTCAATCATCTGCATAGAATATACTGCAAGCAGCATTTGTTGCAAATACTACGTCATTTATGTATATTATAAACAATAGTGGACCAAGGATGGAGCCCTGAGGCACTCCATTAGTAAGAGTGGAATCCCGATCATTCCAGACAACATGTTGCTTTCTTCCGTTCAAATAAGATTTTAAAAGGATATTTTCACGAATTCCGAACAAACAAAACATATTACAAACAAACAAAATTATATTTGCTTTTGTATGGTAAGCACAATAGAATTTAACACTCAAAACAGAGAATCTAACAGAAAACTTCTGCGACTGGCTCCAATAACGATCTACTCAAAATTTTGCTGGCCTTTCAGTTTAATAATTGTAAGTGTTGGTGTTACTATTTTTATTAGGCTATACTATATTGTAATAATAATAAAATAAAATATTAGATATAAATAAATGATTTATATTAGCAATATATACTCTTGAGTACCAGTTAGATATGAAAATATTTAGTTACAAAAAATAGTTTATTTTTCTATTTTAAATTCTAATAATCACTATTATAAGAAAAAGTTTACCTAGCCTTGACACCGATAGCAGTTGTCTACCCTGCCTATTTGGGCTCCGATCTGATTGCAAACCATTCATATGACCAATTAGCGCCAGTGCATCGTTATTAAAACGAAAATGGGAAAAAACAATGGCCCGAGGTCCTCGTTTTACTTCCCAGACCGACCTGTCAACCGTAAAACAATGGAGAATCGTCCCACGCCTTCCGATAGTTTGCGTTGTTGCCAAAATACTTTTTCATATGTTTCATATGTTTGTTAGTAGCGAGGTGCAGTCATTTTTAAATTTTTGCCTAGTTCTTCATGATCCCTTTTTTGGAACTGGAGAACTGGGGAGAAACCAAAAATTCGAAAATCATCCTGGGCGCGCTCTGATGCCTTGATATGAAGAAATTTGAGGTCGTTATGCATTTAAAATGGGCGAAATGCATGAAAATTTTGATGCAATACAATACAAATACGCCCATTAAATTCAAAATAAATCTGTAAATATTTAGGAATTTAATTTGTTTTAAATTCAAACAAGAATACGACAAATGATGGGACTGACGTGTATGGTATAATTTTTACTACAATGGATACTTACTTTATTTTTCTTACATTCTTTGCTTATTCAGGTAGGTCAAGTATTCAAGTAGTTTATGAGTCTTTGTAACAGGATTTTTGTCTTCCATATTTTGGAATAGATCATTTATTTGATCTTCTGATAGATATACTAGAATATCTGGTCCAGCTATATTCTGTTCCACAACATAAAAAATGTTCGCCTTAGTTTGGTTGTTTGGGTTTTGTTTGTTATATTCTATGCCTCTAAGCTAGGTTCAATTTTCTGTGTACGAACAGTACTGATAATTTAATAGACCAAGTCTCAAATCGCTTGTCAATCTGGGTCTTTTGCTTGAAAACTTAAACATGAAAACAAAACATTAAACTTTCGTAAAAACATTAAAAACCTGTAAACAAAATACAGCATTACAGCATATCACAACCTTATAGTGAATTCGTGCCCTTTTGGTAGAGACTTTTCGTAATGCTTCGTTTAAACTTATGGGACAATTGACACAATGAAATACTTTGTTGTGGAGTTCAAGATTTTCTTTCAATTTGAATTCAAATGCTGAATTTGAATGCTTCACGATGAAGGACACGCCCGGTAAGATAAAAAGGGAAATTTCTGAATTATGATGGTATCGAATTATTAGAAGATAAGATTAACGATCATCCAACCCAACGATCGCCCTAAGAACAAAGACCTGGTATTTTCGGCAAGAACTAACCAAAACTAACCACGAAAGTCTATGGACACAAAGTCATTTATAGTCAATAGAATCACAAATTTATTATGAAAAGCCCAATAATTTTCAGTCAAAAATAAAATGCTCGAACCAAGGACATTTTCCCTTTTAACAAATGAAAATATATCGCCGACAAATTCTTTTTTTCAATCATCTTTTCCTCGTAATCATCAGGGCGCCGGAAGCGGGCAAAATCTACAATATCTCCTTAACATCTTACCGATAAATTAAGCTTCACTTCAACATGAAACATTTAATTGAATTTATTAATTTAATCGAATTATTGCATCAGTAACGAATCCTAAAAAGTCCGTCTTTGAGGTTTGACATTCGCCAGCGTGTGAAACACAATCCTTCGTTAAAAATTAAACGATTCGTGGAAATCGAACTCCACGATTTGATTACAGACCGCTTCCCGACACAACTATGGTTACTACGAAACCGCACATTTTCTCGAGCTACCTTGTCATTACGCCGGCGGGAAAGAATTGGAAATGTTTTGTCCACGCTTAGTTGCGGAGCGACTGTAACACTTACAAAAATCACGCGGAGGAAAGCAGGACTTCAAAGCGGAGTTAACCGTAAAGTTAACCGGAAAGCGCAAAAATTAAAAATAATTTATAAAAAAAAAACTTCGCCGTTTTTGGTATCCATGATCGCCCTGGAAAACGCCACTGGCTCGAGAAATTGAGATGGCGTCGGATAAAGGGTACTTTGGATACATACGCCGCCTGATGATGATGGTGGGCATTTGGAGGTTGCTGGACTACCAGACGTCGACCCTGAAGAGACGCATTTACGAAGTCTACGCAGTTCTGTTTCAGCTGATCTGCTTGTCGGCCTTGGTGTCCTTGATAGGAGAGTTACCGATACTGTTTCGAACAAATAACGCTACAGCAGGTAATCAACTTGAGGAATAGTATATCGCACGTAGTTTAGTATTGAGGTTATTTCAACTCTTTTACTCTGTCGCGTTTGTCACTTGTAGGTAGATGCTGTTGACTGTCTTCCTAGGTCTACATTTTTCTGGTTCCACTTATCATCTAATCAATTAATAGGACATCTTGAAAGGAAAAACCTTCTTGCCGACACTCAGTGTGGCTTCCGAAAAGGACACAGTTGCCAAGTTCTCCTAGACTATTCTAGAGTTTTCCTTGTACTCAACCATGAAGCTCCTCTTTCTGGAGTTCCGCAGGGCTCCACGTTGGGACCCATATTGTATACAATTTACGCAGCGCAGATGATGCTCAGCGGTTTTTGTCATTTCCAGTCAACAATTTGCCAGAAAACTGTGATCTTATGGATAGGGGCGTAAACGCTATTTTTGAAGTTTTCAAGGCTCACTCTCTGCTTCTAAATACGGATAAGTAATAATTGTAATCTGTTTAGTCTATCTCCAACTTTGGTAAGATTTGATCTAGGATCTGAAAAGCAAATTCCTGATTGTATTAAGAAATCAATTTTCAAATTAAAACTATTTCATAACTCCCAGTAATGTTTTAATCATGTATCACCCTTATGTTTTCCATTTTTTATGTCTGTTACTCCTTGAAAGTAACCAAGGTCAAACTGACGTTATATACACTGACTTTCTCCAAGCAATTGACCAGATAGATCACCACTTACCGACGTTCTCTTTTGTACCTCACGTTACTAAAATGGTTTCCAGTGCAACACAAATTGTTATTTGATTGTTACGTTAAGTCCAAGCTTGACTATGGCTCCGTGGCATGGTCACATCTGCCACGCTCAGTCCATCGAGAGTATGCAGAGAAGGTCACTGAAGTATCTAATGTTCAGGGGGGAGGGTTCCTATCGTGATAGGGGAGTTCATCATGATCTTCTAGTGAGAAGGTTCGCTGTACTGCCTCTGAGCTTACGCAAGTTACAAGTTAATTCACGTGCCGCTACTGGAAAGGAGATATCAATCAATTTTCTTACCGCAGTTACCCAGATCCATTTTCAAAATCCTATTTGCAATATGTGTGTTACCATCATCAAATTATAATTGCACCGACGATAGTTCTGACCTTAGGAGGATGCTGTGTGATTCGCTTGTTCTTTCCAGTTTTAATTTCTGTGAGCAGTGTTCGAAGTGTTTTCGGAGCGCGAGCATTGAAGATGCCAAGTGAGATCTTGGCGAAACGTCTGCAGGATTGCAGTCGGAGTTCAACAAACGAACGGATGATATCCCGGAATATATTGTAATCACATTTTTCCATGAAAATTACCTGGATATCATTATTTTTAAAGATAGATATAAACTGTGCATGTTTAGATATAAATAGTGTTATTTTTGTCTGAATCAAGGGTACTTATTATTCTTATCATCACTAACAGCCCAGAATTTACATTTTGAGTGTATCAGGCCCTTTTCCAGCTATGGACAACATCGGGAAAATCATCGCCACGGTGGTGGTGATATTCAAAATGACAATGTGGAGGTCTAATCAGATGTTGAGGTTGATGAGGCTCGTACTGCACCAAGACTCCGACATACGATTGCAGCCGGATAGCCAGATTAAAGCGATATATCAGCGGCACCAAAACTACGACGACAAGTTCATTTCTCTGATAGTTTCGTCTGCCGTTATGATTGCTGTGTGCGCAGCAGGTTTCGGTGAGAAAATCTGGACAGTATCCGCGGAGAACCAGTGACCTATCCTTTTTAGGAGACGTCGATTGTTACCTATATACTAGGCAGTTCAGGAACCTCAACCAGACGCAAAAACCTTTGCCGATGAACCTCTGGTACCCTTTCGATCGGAACAGGCATTACGTATTCGTGTTAATTGACCAAAACATCCGACCTTCGATGGCCTGTCTGTGTATCGGGGTGGTCAGCGCCTCCGTCAACTCCGTCATAGTTTTTCTCAAGCTTCAACTGACGCTGCTTCAGCGTAATTTCCGGAGCTTTGATGGATGCAAGGGGAACGATTTGAAGGCGCTCTGCGTCGAGCATCAGAAACTCATTGAGTGAGTTGTCCTCCCCGGTGGGTTTCGATCATCAGTGTGTTGTTTTAGATTCGTCGCCATATTCAACGGCGCCATGAGAAACATCATCTTTTTGGAATATACCGTGTCGTCTTTGACATTTGCTACGGTTATTTTTCAAATCACAACGGTAGGTGCTGATCTTTGCTTGGTTATAGGAATGGTTTGATAAAGATATCAGTCATCAGTAGGTTTGGTTTAGTGCTTCATAGTTTTTTTTTTCAGGGCGACCAGTTGGTGTTCAGTTTTACAATGCTGGCTTATATTTCCTTGCAGCTGCTCACGTTTGCCTGGAACTCCAACGAAATTCTGATACAGGTAAATCGTACTGAGTTCTACTGAAAACTTTTCGGATTTTAGCGATATTGTTAGGACTATTCGGGTTAGCATTTATTTCTTGCCTGCTGACTCGATATTCAAATCATAGCATCGTGCATGATCAAGCAACTTGGTCCTTTAGGATCCTAGGATTAGGTCTCATTTTGGATATATTTGCATGAGAGCAACTTTATTCAAAATCCTGTGTTTCAGAGCATCGAGTTAGCCAAAGCTATCTACGAAAGTAGGTGGTACGATCAGAGCAAATCTACGAAGTTGCTGCTGTACACGATGATGATGAGGTGTCAGAAGCCCCTTTGCTTGAGGATCGGTCTGCTCGGAGTGATGGATTTAAACGCTGGTCTCTCGGTACTTCTTTCTCACTTTTTACCACCAAACATCGAAGCAATTTCATTTTAGAGATTGAAGCTGGGGTATTCCTACACTTCGGTAATGAAGACATGAACGTGATAACGTGCGTTGCTTTTCGTTGGCCGTAAAAACATTTTGAAATAGAACAATTTTCAACCTCAAGTTCCCATTGATTTGTCCGGCACGAACCAGTCGCCCGGTCCGTTTTTGTAGCTAATCGGAAAGTTTGCTTTTGTTTTGAAAATACGTCCTGCAACTTATTAGAAAGTTGCACAATGCGGCAGCAGAATATATTTTTAAAGTGCCATAGCACATAGATAAATTTTTCCGCTGATCTGACTTGTTGTTTATACTAAAAAAAGTCAAGGCCTTTTAACAAAATGGATTGTGTACAGGGCGTCCGCTTTTCGACACCCTTGCGGGTTATCGCGTTTAGAATTAAAGCGAAAAGGTTAACCAACAGAACACCCTGTTTATTATAAAAAATATGTTATTGTTTGGAATGTCAATTTACAGATGGCCTTTGATTTGTCAACAAAAGTTGCGCTTGTTACATTTTGTTAAGTTTCATGCTCCGTTTAAACTCTGCTTAACCTTAACTGGATTGGTTGCCATTAAAATTAACTGTCTTGGCGTGCACTGTGGTAGACCCGAACCGCATTTGCAATTCTCGTCGCAGGACACGCGGTATATCTCCGCTTCGATTAAATGTTATCGCGGACACTGCGTTATGCATGCAACTGTAAATTTGAACCAAATCAATCCCGAGGAAAAGTGTTAGAAACGCGTGAAAACAATGGCGTTAGCGATTCTCTTCGCGGTCACGATAACACTAGTGGCGGTTTTCTTCTTGTTTTCGAAATGGCGCTACACTTACTGGAAACGCAGGGGTTTGACCCAACTAGAACCGGACTTTTTCTACGGTAACACGAAGAAGATGTTCACCGGAGAGTTATCCACCGCAGAAACTTACCGGGAAATCTATCGGCAGCTGAAATCCATGAACATTCGGCACGGTAATAATCAACGTTGCGAATTATATTCGTTCATCACGGTGGGCATTTCATTGTCGAAGAAAAGCATCAATAAATCCGAGCCATTGGGATCCATACTATTGCATAACATAACTTCTCCTTAAAGGTGCTATTTAAATAAGTAATGATATACCGAGCGACGCAAGAAAGTGGGAACACTCTATAACTTTTAAACGGCTTGAGATAGCGTTTTGAAATTTGGAAGGGTCAATATAGGCTGAACGTCCAATTTTTCGACAATATGTAGTCAATGGTTGCACTTCCGGTTTGAGCGGAAACGATAGGTAGGATAGATAATTTCGAATTTTATATGGCACAATATATATTTTCTTGCATTTTTGGATTCAGATCAGGATAGGACGGTTTTTCTCTTTTTTATTATTATTTTTTTAAATTTTTGATTGTGTCCAGGAGGCTGTGACCATCATAAATACTATTTACCGGGTCACCTGATCATGTGAAAAATTGTCAATGAAACTATTCTATACTTGTCTAATGTCTAATGTAATGAACAATTTAATTTTTCAGGATAACCTTGTTTTTTCAAATAGTGAAAACAAAAACTTTTTTTTGCAACATTTTGACACCAAAACAGATAAGTAAATACATTTTTATAAAAATAAAATATTACTTAGTAGGCTGTGCTTCTGTTCATAATTAATTGTCAAGTCGATAAGAAAAAGAAACTCTAGACAAGCTTATGCAGTGGAAAGAAAAAAAAACAGATTAGCATTTCAAAAAAAAAATCAATGGAGAGTTTCTTCTGAGATTCACTGATTATTTTCACAAAACAACACGAATACATTCACTGACATGACCGTCAGAATTAAAAAACGTCAAAAATTCAAAGCGTCTCCGAAAACATCCGATTGCTCCCAAATCCGTGCGGTAAAATCCCGGAAATGTCCGAAGTGGCTCGGATTCATGGGAAACCTCCGGACTTCAATAGGCAGCAAAAACACCATATTATATGATACAACTATTTTAGTAAAAAAAGGCAAATGTTTATTATTATTTGACTGAAACTTTCGTAAACTTTTTCTCGCAGTCATGTCTAAAACCTTTTTGCCTGTAGGCGGAGCCTATAGTCTTTTGAAGCCGGTCTACATACCGATAGACCCCCTGATAATAAAACACATCATCCAAAACGACTTTCCCCATTTCACTGGCCATGGGTTCTATTACCACGAGAACGACATGCTGTCCAAAACTCTGTTCAGAATGGACGGACCGCAGTGGAAAATTCTGCGGGCCAAGATGACCCCCGTTTTTACCGTCGGCAAGATCAAGATGATCTTCGAGACCCTCGTCGAGAAAATAATCCACTTGGAACGAGTGGGGAGACAGTGCGCGGCGAAAGGGGAGCCCGTTCACATTAAGGATATCGCAGCCCGGTTCACCAGTGACGTCATTGGTAAAAACTAGCATAAAGTTTCCGTGAATTAATGAATGTTTTGGAAAAATTAGAACCATGGGCTGTCCATTTAATTCACCACTTTTTGAACTAAACACACACATTCACAATTATTTTGAAATCCAAAATGATTAATTTAAGAAATATTGAAAAAAGATATAATAGCAATAATTAATGTGTACTTAGTATATGCCACCTAAAATTGGCTCGGCTAAAATGGCATAACGAGAATTGTTGGGTTAGGAGATTAAGATTTAACCACAGTATATGAACTTCGGCATCGGACAATACCTGCTTTCAAAAATAATTATAAATAAAATGTAGAGCCATCGATTCCAATCCACTATAACGTTTCAGATTGAGACTATATCGGTCTGACTTTAAAAAACATGTTCTTAGAATCCTTGACATAAGCTTCTGGTATTACCTCTGAAACATAGCGCCTAAATTTTGTATCATTTTATATTATACCCTGGACTGCATGGATAATGTATGAACCAATTTGACATATCCAATGCATAGCATAGCTTTTCAAGCACATTTTCTTAATTTGTGCCTCTTCTGTGTTTTTAAAAACGGACTTTGACTAAAATTGCAACATTAACAATAAAGTATTCGCAGGTATTCGCAGGCCTTCTTTTCATACCATCAGAACTTATTAAAAACAGTAAAAAGATATTTGGTTTCAACAAGCTTTTAAACATTCGCCCGAATCGACCGTATAAACAAGCTTAAGTAGATTTCTGTAGCGTCTTGGCGTAGTCGCCGAGAGATGGCGCGACCAGCTCAAATGATTCGTTTTGCCGCCTCGATATGAATATTTCTATCGCAGCGAGTATAGCTTTCGGCATCGAATGTCATTCCATGGAGGATCCTGATGCCGAGTTCCGCGTCTACGGCAGGAAAATATTTCGACCGAGACTGCTCAAGACGTGGCTCGAGGAGATCGTTCCGTGGAAGATTCTAGGTTATACCGGATACAAAACGCAGGGCGGAGGTGACATCGAACGCTTTTTCCAAAACATCGTGAGAGATACGATAGCGTACAGGGAAAAGAACAACGTCTTCAGGAAGGACTTCTTGCACTTGCTCATACAGTTAAAGAACCGCGGCGAACTCAGCGAAGACGGCAGCATCGTGAAAGAGAAGATTGGTGAGTAAACCAGGATAATGTATCACGTGACTCATCAGAAATAATTCTCCCAGTGCTGGACTACAAACATCCCTCAATTTTTTTTGTTGCCATTGATCGATGATTCAGAAACATTACATTAACTATTAACTATAAACATTAAAAATAAGTACTTTTACAAACAATGGTATATTAGATAAAAATTTTGCTAAAATTTCGGCCAAATCGATAAGTTAAATTAATGATACTCGGGCATATGAAGTAAATTGCTATTTGGTTCTTAGTGTCTGACCATGGTTTTAACGAATTTGTTTACTTCCTCTATTTAAATTTCATAATGTTCTAGTATCAATATTATGATGCAATACAAAAAAGTGAGTCATTAACGATCAAATCAAAGCAATTAAATATGTGCCAGTGCTATTTTCGCTCTAGATTTGCATCAGCCGCAGCTTTTCCCTTGCTGTGGCTCAATTATTTATTTTGCTGTGCCGTGCCCGCACAGCCACGTTTCGCCGACCTGACCCGCTCGCGACTTCTAATCTCCTGATGAAATTTGGGCGTCAAAGGCGTTCCTGGGGGGTTGGAAGAGGCGTAGCCTCATTAGAGTGTACCGCACACGTCTAACACCGGTGCAAGGTCACGACTAAAGATAGCCCCACGAGGGGGACAGCCTCGCCGCGTTGATTGGCGGCCCGACTAAGTGTCCGTACCCCCTTTTTTTGGCTATTTCGCGGTGCCAGTCGGGAGTTTTTTTTTTCCTGGTTCGTTATGGCTCGACTACTGAAGTTTACCCGTATTTATTCCTCAAAGCGCAAGACATTGGATTATTGGATGGAATAAAAAAAAACAGGTTAAATAACCCTATCATTTATGTACGGCGGCTATTCATAAACAACATCATAATAATAATAATTGTTATTGGTGTTATCAATCAATCCACCATAATGCTTTGAAAAATTGATCACAAGGTAAATAAATGTTTCTTATAGTAATATGAAAAATATTATGTATTATTATTTATATTAATCAGCTAAAAGCTGCGGAACATTGTCCTGATCATTGCCATGTCTCATTCTACTCATTCTTCATTTGGAATATTCCCACAAAATTTTGCTATTACCATACTACCATATCTAACATAATTTTCAAAGAAATTAATTCACCAAAGACCTTACCAGTTGATCGATAATTAGCTCTTAAGAATTCCTTACCTTAACCAAACTAACCAAGTGAGGGAAATCCGAATGGGTGATCTGCAGGTGATAACACCGTAACCGAGGAAGAAATCATAGCCCAATGCTTCCTGTTCTTCATCGCGGGCTTCGAGCCTTCAGCCACGACGATGACCTTCGGTCTGTTTGAGCTTGCCCGGAACCAAGAGGTCCAAGACAAAGTCAGAGAAGAGGTACGGACGGTGTTGGAGAAGTATGGAGGGAAGTTCACGTACGAGGCTGCCCAAGAGCTCGTCTACACCGAGAAAGTGGTGCAAGGTTCATTTTGGGAGGTATACCATTCGGCGTGCTTTTGATGGCGGTCGCCCTTTTAGAAACGCTGAGGAAGTATCCGCCTCTGTCGACGCTCACACGAGTCTGTTCCAAAGACTACAAAGTGCCAGGGTCGGACCTGGTTATCGAGAAGGGCACGTACGTTCAGATCTCCGCCTGGGGACTCCATCTCGATCCCGACTACTTTCCAAATCCGGAAGTGTTCGATCCAGAGAACTTTAGTGTAGAACGCAAAGCCGCCAGGCCAGATTTTACCTACTTGCCATTTGGAGATGGCCCAAGGATTTGTACGGGTAAGGCTGAGCTTGCGGGTTTCTGCAAAGAGCTTCAAGAAACATTTTTCTTCGGTATTTTTTGAACCATTTATATTGTTCTGACAGAAATACGAATAATAAAACCAACCATAGGTTTATTGCAGTTATCCGGGAATTTTCCAGATACTCTTTTGGCCTCAATATTTGGCAGTTTACATAGCCAAGTTATTGAAACTGAAGATATAAATAAAAAAAATAAAAATAATATAAAACGGCCCTTATATTAAGCTCACCGAAAGTCACCTTATTTGTTATCTTAACCGAGGATATAACTTAATTTTACATTAGAAAAATATATACGTGCAAATATATGATAAAAAAATAATATTAAATAGAGACAAATGTTTAATTATCTAGGTAATTTTTCTTAAAAGATGCTTTCTAAATAAAATTTAAAAGCGCAGAGATATTCTGCGATTGGCTAATCTGAGGATATTTATTAAGCGCTCTGCCAGATGTATACGAGAAGTAGCTTTTATTTTATACCGCCATTTAAAAGGAAATGAATGCAATTTCTCAATTTTCCCAATAAACACGAGGAGTAGCCAGTTTTAACTAGTTTGTGAAGAAAACACGCAAATGTAATCTCACCTCGATATATTTAACCAATTCAAGTCGTGAAGTTTATGACGTCGAAACATCCAAGCGCGACCATACATAAAATTACATTGACTCAAAGCCAGTCGGAACAGAATTAATGGAGTCGTAAGGGTGAAGCACCTCCAAGAAAATTCAGAATCTACCAGTCAACAAAAAAGGTGATGGCCACGATCTTTTGAGATTTTGAAGGAGTTCTTATGATAGATTTTAAAGAAACTAATACCACTGTCAATGGTAAATATTACGCAATATCATTACATGAATTGCGGGACTGCATACGTGTAAAACGTCGAGGAAAACTGACCAGAGGCGTGAGTCTTTTGCACGATAATGCACCTGCCCATACCGCTGGTGTTGCACAAGCTGCCATTTTAGGGTGTGGGTTCCAACAGATAGATCATCCTCCCTACAGTCCAGATATGGCCCCCAGCGACTATTATTTGTTTAAAGGGATTGAGTTGTTAATAAAGAGATGTAATAAGTGTATCGAAGTTAAGGGGGATTATATTGAAAAATAATAAAAAATTGTTACTCTACTTCGTTTCTTTCATACTCGTAAGTTCATTACCAAAAATTATAACCATTTTTTTTCTTCAACAGCTGGTATAAGTATATTAATGCGGATTTAATTTCAAGCCAACATCATTTCCACTGCGTCAGACGGTGAAAAAGAAATATATGTCTGTGTGTCATCGGCATACTATTGAAATCTCCAAAGAAACCCGACATATATGCCGTATAAATAATGAAAAAAAGAGATCTTAATGGCTTAATGCTTTCGGGTTAACGTTGAACTTTCAGGTTGGAGGTTCGGGTTGATTCTAAGCAAGTTGGGCCTCGCAGCTTTGCTCAAAGGTCACCGCTTCGCCGTCAACGAGAAAACAAAACTTCCCATCCTGATGGAGAAAGGTTCGATGATAATAACCGCCCGTGGGGACGTTTGGTTGGACATCGAGAAAATCGACTGATTTTCCCACCTTATCGGCACCGTGTAGTCGTTATTAAAATAAAATTATATGCATGGCATGGGTTTTCTGTGTACGAAAAGGAGTTGCGCGCAATTCGCCATCGGGGCAGGCGGGGGTGGGGACTCGGCATAATTTTGGTTAAGCCCCTCCGTCCGAAAAAAAATCTGTTAACCGCCACCCTCAGTTTTCGATGCGCGCGCGCTACCACGGGGTGGGTTTCTTTTTTCCCGCGGCGTTGCCGCTTCTGCCGCAAAATCCGGGCGAGTTATTGAAACCGGGAATAAATTACCTTTTTTGTTGAAAATCTTTTTTTCTTATTCTAAATATGAAATTAATAACGTTTCTTACAATGTCTGGAATTATTTACTGCTTAAGTTTAGCTTAGCTCGAATAATAGCTGGAACTGTAGTGTCCTCTATTACAGTTTGGGTAGAGTACGTCGAGAATCATTTCTTGGATCAAGAACCGGACTGCTACAGGGATGTGACAAAACTTGTCATGTTCATGTCGATATTTGATATCTTGATATTGTTACGGTGCCTCTGACCGTTTCTGTTTGTGGCTTATTCGCATAGACCAATGACTTTACATAGCCCCGCAGAAAGTAGTCTAGCGGTGTTAAATCACAAGATCTTGGAGGCCAATTCACAGGTCGAAAACGTGAAATTAGGCGGTCACCGAACGTGTCTTTCAATAAATCGATTGTGGCACGAGCTGTGTGACATGTTGCGCCGTCTTGTTGAAACCACATCTCCTGGACATCATGGTTATTCAATTCAAGAGTGAAAGAGTTAGTAATCATAGCTCTATACCGATCACCATTGACTGTAACGTTCTGGCCATCATCGTTTTTGAAGAAGTACGGACCAATGATTCCACCAGCCCATAAAGCGCACCAAACAGTCAGTTTTTCTGGATGTAACGGTGTTTTGTGTGAGGATTAGCTTCGCTCCAAATGCGGCAGTTTTGTTTGTTGACGTAGCCGTTCATCGCTAAACAAAATTCGCTTATGAAAAACGGGAATAACGGCAATCTCGTTTTGGGCCCATTCGACGAATCTACGCCTTACTTCGATCCAATTCCTGTGCTCGATGGCGGATGGACTCATTCGGGTCTTCCTCAATGCTACGCTCTACAGCAGCAATAGCTTCTTCTGTACGCACCGTACGGCGTCTCTGGAGATGCATGTTATCAATACAATAAAAGTCGTGCGAAAACGTTCCATGGTTAATCGAATTAACTGCCCTGATGGACGATTTTGTCGACGATAAAATGGACGTAAAGCGCGTTACGTATTCCGCACAGAATAAATTACTTCACAGCTGTTAAATCGGTCGCCATCTTAGTATTAATATTAGTATTAATAGTAGTTAATAGTAATTAATTAAATAGTACTCGCCGTAAAAATAATTCCATATAATAATAATAAAAAAATATATTAAACTGGCATTTCATTGGCATATAGTTTTTATAGTTGTCAGGGCTCGTATACGGTTATGTATAGGGTTACCTTATATCTTATCTCAGAATATACAGGATGTATGAAAAATGTTAAATAAAAAAGTCATCTGGTTTGGAACGAAGTTTAATTTTATTATATTTTTGCATATACTGTATATTATGACATTTTTGGATTGCATTTTATTGGAATATGATTGATTTTAAACGCTGTCATATCCAACTAAGAATAGATATGACAAAGTTGAAAACCCGCAGCCAAATCGTCGTATAAGAATTTTAATTTGTCAATTTTTCGAAAACTAAACATTTTCAGCATATTCAATCTTAGATTTACTTTTAATGGCAAAATAAGATAAAATTATGAAATTGGATTGGTTAAAAAAAAAGAGTATTATAAAAATTCTAGTTCGATGATTTGTTGTGATTTGTTAGAGGCTTCTACTACGGCGCCAGTCAGAAAGATTTAATTTAACTTCCGGATCACAAAATATTCTTCGCGACGACTACTGCGAAGAAGGTGGAATGGTGCAGGAAAGGAAACCACATCACCGATTGATTAATAAAGACACTCAAAATGGAAAAAAATCGGATGAAAGGGCGGAGAACTAAGGAAGAATTTTTTTAATTTTCTAAGAAAAAGAATGTATGGGGCAAACGCAGCCATCGAAACGACAAACGAGACGCAACGCGGCAACTGCGCATCTTCCTGATCGACCCATTGCGGCCCGCGACATCCAGCTTCCGAAAAGGCGATCTTCCTCATTTTTCTCCCGCATCACACTGCGATATCGTCCGCTTGATTCCGATCAAGTTCGAGGGACACCACGTGACGCTGAGCTCGATTCTCGTCACCGACAACAAACCTAATAGTGTATAAACGATGCTTAAATCGACAACCACATAAACAATATCGCGGAAAATGCTCGTCGACGGGCGATTTTGAAATACTTTTGAATCCTCGCGCGTGCGGCACTGTGTTACAGATTCCGGTGGCCTGAGGACAAGAGGGAAAAATGACCGAAGTTGCCGGGAACGAGGTGAAATTGAAGGAAAAACTGAGCGAAAATTCGACCGGACAGACTCACAACGGCACAGGTGGGTTTCTATTTTTAAATGTCCATTTGGCTGCCGGGTGCATCGCGTGCATTTGTAGTCTAGAACAATACTTCAGGTTTTTACTTGTCCCTGTAGATCTAGATCTGTAAATCTGTAGATCATTCAACCCCTACTTATCCTTGAAACCCAATATATCGAAGATATTCGACATTTATTATATACACTAACGTATTTTTAATCCACCCCGTATATTGAGGCTCCCCTATGATTTTAGTGCCCTCCAATTTTCCGTCGCAATTTTTTGGGGGCTTCATTTTTTTGCCCTCGTGTTTAAAATGACGTTCATTTTTATTTTACATTCCATTTTCTCTTGTTTCCTTGACTTTAAGGAATAATTACCATTCATTTAAAAATGTTGTTTAGTAGTCCTTGTATTAATTCCTGTTTTCAGCTACTGTTGGTTTGGGTGCTTCGTGGAAATATTTTTTATCTAAACAACGGTGGGAATCAATGTCTCGTAGGTATCTCGAGCGGAAGCTGTTGAAAAAAATCACCGTGATCCGTCGACTGCCACATTTTGAGTTGCTTCAAATTCACAACGTTTAGAGATAAACAATATATACGTCATTTTAATTTAATTTAATAATAATTTAATTATTAATATTTATTTAAACCAATTTGCAACTTCCGGTGATTTTTTTTCGACAGGCACTGGTTTTAATTCAAACATAAATAAAATATACGATATATCGATGACGAGTATTGTTTGTCGCCAAGTGCTTGTTAGATAATTATCTGCGGTTTTCTGCTGACGATCTGTCAAGATTAAGTCCGATTTTTGTTAAACTACTCCCACTTTTCCGGATCGATGACATCAGTAAGCCTTTCGGTTTTATTATCAGTTAGCGCTGGTCTTTTAATTACCATGTTCGCTATAATAAACACTCTGACCTCATCGAAAACACCGTGGTAATTTGACGCACGCGCTTTCCGTGTTTCGCATTTCAAATTTCGTTCGTTTTGCCGTGGTTGACCTCCAACTCCTAACCAACATTGACGTCATCGTCTTGGAAGACGGCGTCGGATGTTTTAGACGATTTGGGTCGCGCCCTATGTCATTATAAAATTGAAACTAACTGCCGTGCCGTCAAACCTACGATTGTTTTTGGGAAGCTCCGAAGCCTCAATTTGCCGCACCTACGTCGGTAATTTTGTGTGCCAATTTCCTTAACACCGATCTCTAACATATAATAATTATATTTTCTCGCATCCGCCCCCCGCTTGTTTTTTGTTTTAATTTCCAAAAAACAGTACCGTTTATTCATCTTTTGAGCTGCGAGTGGACAAGACACGTCAAAAATGGCTTTATAATCCAGTATTATAAGGTTCAATAAAAGAGAAACACATTTTAAAATGGGATATTGTTATTTTTACAAAACTTCTGGACTCTTCCTGCGTCGGTTTTTGCTGAGTCGAAATTGCTGACGTTTGAAGTGGAAGTTTCTTTAAAAAAAATTTGTTTATACAAATTTAATCAAGTTCGCATTTTCTAATTTGATAAATCTGGAACTTTGTTTAATTAATGAGAACTTTCAGGATATTTCAAAAAAGCTGACAATAATAATGGCTATACGTAAAGATAATAAATAAAATACAAAAGATGCTCGAAATGTTGTCCGAGATTCTGCAAACACAGTTCTACTCCTCGTTATGCACTGCCACTTGCAAATGATACCCTATAAAAATGTGTCGAGGACACTGAGATCTGGAGACCTGGCTGTCAATCTCAGCGGTCCATTATTCCCGATCCATCTGTCACTAAAACTTGTCGAAAGATAATCGGATAAAGTCTGTTCATAGATATAGGAAAGTGACTAACTGATACGAATTAAGGAAAGACCTGGGCAAGCTGTAAGAATGAAATATGGCCGAACAGGTCCGTACTTCGCTTAGAATTTAATTATTTGGGGTTTTGTTAGGGAAGATACTAAACAATATTTATTTATTTATGTATGTATTTATGTTTAAATCTATAATAAAAATACAAATTATTTTTATTACCTACTTAAATTACTTAAAATTATTCACATAATATATCAGTATCACTATCGCTATCATGGCCTGTTCTAATTATTATTTGTTCTATATTATTTGCAATATGGATATACGATTGTTCTGCTTTTTCTATATGTTTAACAGAATTTGCCCAATTTTGTGGAGGGATTTTAAATATAAGGTTGTTCGGAAAGTCATTTCGTGTTTTCCCGTCAGAGGACTTAATTCCGTTTTTTCGAAACCAACTTCACACTTAAGCCGCATAACCATTATATGTCTTGAGAGCTGATATTGCAAGGCTTGTGTGTGAAAAAGTTCTATTAATTCTACGCAGTAGTTTTTGGTTGGTGCCCTTTTAAATATGGAGAGCAATAAGCAGCATTTTCGTCATATTTTACTTTTTTACTTCAGAAAAGGTAAAAATGCTGTCCAAGCGAGAAAAAAATTGACGGATGTGTATGGAGAAGGCGTGTTAACAGT